GAATACAAATTATATGGTAAATGAAATCAGTGGCAATTTACCATTCATCAGACTTGTCATTAATTTGAAGATGTCATCAAAATACAGGAGGGGTTTACAAAATAAAGCCAATTGTGTTGTCAATAATTGTGAATAAAAAAAAGGCCATTCCAAGACTAATATTATAGTCTTCACTACCATTCATAGTTTGTTGTTCCAGGCACAATATATCATCCATTCACACTCTTCACTACTACATTTGGCTCGTGCTCTGATCTTGTCATTTTTCAGCCACTTAAATTGTCTCCCAAGAGACTAATATTATAGTCTTTCACAGCATTTTTAAATTGATCTAAACTCACAAACTCCATTCCATGCTCTAAGTGGACATGACCAAATGTATTATCTTCATTAAACTTTGGAAAGACAGGTCTTTCAACCTCCTCATCACTACTTGAAGGAGGAGTCTTCAGCTCTTCAGAGTTATATCCATACACATCCTCTTCAAATGACATTTCCTGGTCCTCCTCTTCCATGTTTTTTCTCATGCCTGCTACTCAACATCCTTTTTTTTCTTTTTGTCACACTTTTTTTTCCAGTAACCCGAGGTATACAATCATACTCCTCTTCATCTTCTGTTTGGTCCTCAAAACCTGGGGGAGGAGGCTTATATGGCTCATCCTCTACACTGTCATATGAATCACTAAACAATCCATTGTCATCTCCACTATGATATCCATCACCAGAGGTCCTATGATCATATCCACTGCCAAATGAATCACCATGCACCCTTTCATCATCACCACTGTCACATTCTAACCCATCACTCTCTTCTACAGGTGCAGGTGCTACAATATCAGGGATTGCAATGCAATCTTCAAAATATATATCTATCTTGTACCCATTAGCTAAGGCAGCCTTAACCATTTATACAATATAGGAGTCTTTACTAAGAGGTCTTAAACCTACCTCTAGATCAGACTCATTTGGCTTGAGCCACAACATCTGTTTACAACTCTCATACCCATAACCTTTGAATAGAGTTTCAATGTCACGCAGGTTCACAAAATCAGCATCCATCTCAGGTAAATCATCTACTATACCATTTACATAGGTTAGGACCCCTTCATTATTTCTCACCAACACACCCCCAAGATGATACCTTATCACTATATATTCATCCATCTGTAAAACAGATAGACCACATTGCCATTACTTCACACTACCACATTACCAACCAATTTTATTTCACATTATTCCCAAACAAGCAATTTTTAATACAACATCAAGATGCCTATATAACTCAACACTCGGGGAGAAACATACAGTAACTTATGGAAACAGACAAAACATGTCAGCTTTACAAAATAGGCATGCAATTCATTTACCCAACATGAGGGTCCACAAAACACTAAAAAATACGAACACATTACTCAAAAGGGGACCACATACTAAAAAAGGTTTGTATTTTCTAAACCCTAACCATAACTTTAGCAGGGACCATATTCAATATAAATTACAGAACCATTGTGAGGGGGGACCACATATAAAATTCAATTTCGTACAACACGTACCTTCCTGCATATGAGTTAACACCCACAATCGTACTCTCCTCCTACCACTAAAAAAACAGCCGAGTTCCAAATCCTTGCAAGTGCAAGCTCGATCTCCACCCAAAAACCACCCCAACTCACAATGCTGACCAGTAATGAAGCTCAGGAGTAAACTTGGGGGTTCTTCGCAAGTAACTAGTACAGTTAGTGTGTCACAACAGTAACAACCAAGGCAGTGAATGATTAATCTCAACGAACGATGCCGTTCGCTTATAATACATGCATTTAACTCATCTTCAAAACGTCTTTGTCTTTTTTCCATGGTGGACTGTTTCATTCTGAGTCAGCAAACTAACGTGACAAGTGTGCACCCTTACATTGGTCGTTGGATGCCAACTAACAGAAGGACTAACGTGGCTTGTTTTTTAAAATTTGAGGGACCACGAATGCCCTTTTTTATTGCAAGGGACCAAAAAGGGTTCCATGAAATTTGTCAAGAACCAAAAAGGGTATTTACTCACAGTTTATTTAACTAAATCAAGAAAAAAATTTGTGATCGATTGTTGTAATTATCTATTGACATATTTGTTAAAAGGAAGGTATTTAGAACTTGTGATAATGATTAAAAAAAAGCCCAAACCGCAGTGATTTACTAATGGGTCTGTCAATCTTCCTTAAGGTGGTGTTTGGTTGGGAGCTTTTCAGCGAATATCTATGTTTTTGAAGTATGGCTTTTAGAAACACCATGTTTATTTCAACGTATTTTCACCAAAAACTCATCTATCCAATTTGTCTGGATTTATGAGAAACATAGATATCCGCACTGTTTAGAAACCCAATTTGAAGGTGGGATTTTTTGAAAAACCGGTTATCTGGCTTTTAATGCACTGTTGATTTCATAAAGTTACCTAATTTTCCCAGTAAAGTTTTTCTCCACCAAACAACTTTTTTTTACATTTTTCTACCTATCTCACTTTATCTATCTTTCCAATCATTTCTCTATCTATTATATTTTCCTACTATTTCAAAAAAATTTCCGAAACCAAACGCTCCCTAAACGAAAAGAAGAATGTCCACCATCGAGACATCTTTTTTAAAAAAAGTGGGACCCAAAATTAAAAAAAAATCATCACACTAAATTTTAATGGTCATATTTAGTTTACGGCATGTAAACATTTCTGCATTTAAAGCAGAAATATTTTTGCCTTTACTAATATGTACAAAAGGAGAGAAACTAAAAAGTTATATATTAATTGTTCAATGTCTCAGAACTATGACTTGTTGCCTCTGGAATTCCAGATCAATAGGGAAAAAGTTCACTATAATTTAGTCACCTATATTACAATTCAAAACGTGACAATAAGAGAATAACTTTACAAGCATATGTATTGTCCATTGCCTAACCTACATGCATTCTCAAACGAGGAAAACAGTTTGTTTTAGAATTATTGAACAAGGGGTGATAAAGGGTAAATCCCACGGTTCTACCACCCTAAAATCTTTCTTCCATTTCTTTTAATCTCCACTGTGCTTGAGCTGAAAAACCCACCATTCCTTCCTTTGGGTGTTATGATGGCTGTACCTTAAGGCGCAAATGGAACTCTCTCTGCCCTACAAGCCTTGGTCCTCATCAGTTTAGGGAATGCATGAGATATGATAGTAAATAATGATAAAAAGCTATGAGTATCTCATGACCGAATCAATTAAAGAAATGATGTGTTCTGTTTTCGACCTTAGAAGAAAAGAATTCTAGTTGTCTTGTTTTAGCCAAGAATGATAGATGAAATACCAAAATTTTATCGTGTAGGTATAAGAATTTTGGGGACAATTAAGAGTGATGGGGGGGCCGAACTTTCATATGCTAGGATTTACTTATGTAAACACTAGCTGAAAACTATGTCATGGTTATGTTTTAGGTGCAATTGGTGGTTCTAAGGAAATTCCAAAGAAGAACTGAGTGCCAAGCTAAATTTTCAGCATCGAGGTAAGTGTATTAACCTCCTTGATTGTGTTAAACTGCTTTGGTGTGACCTTGGGTGTTTAAATACCATGCATGTATGTTGTTGGAGATTGAATTACCATGGAGGAACTCACACTTCATGGCTATATGTTAATGATAATTGAATTACCATGGAGGAACTCACTTCATGGCTATGTTAATGAAAATTGAATTTACCATTGAGGAAGGCGCACCCTCATGGCTATGTGCCCATAAGGCCGAAATACCTTTGGTGGAGAACGCTCCCCATGACTTTATGTTTATAAGATGGTGTTGAACTGCTGCATAAGTATTGTATTTGAGTTCCTTGAGTTGTACCGTGTGTTTGATGCATGATGAGGAATGGTTTTCCACTTATTGAGATTTATCTCACCCTTTTGTGGGCTACTCTTTTACAGGTTCAAAACAAGTTTAATTCAGTTTGAATGTGGAAGACTATGTTTAATTTATATGTACTTGAAGAACCAATCTGGATGTACAAACTATTGTTATTTTCTGCACATGTTGCCTGTATCAAGGATGTTGTAGCTTAACTTTTGTTGTTTGGAACTTAAGTTGTATCAAGGATGTTGTAGCTTAACTTTTGTTGTTTGGAACTTAAGTAAACTTTAAATCTTATGTATGACATGTATGTTGAGTGTAGGAATGATCCAAGATTGAATGTGATAAATTATGAAACACTGTAGTGTTGTGACTTGGGTAATTTAGTGCAATCTAAATGCTGTTGAGGTAAATGATTTTGATAAACTTCTGGTTCTGTAACCGATTTTATAAATTTTATATCTGGAGTTGTAGCGCTCCAAAAAAAAATATGAGTGATATATTGAATTGAAGGCCTGGATGTCTACTTTGATTGGTAAAAATTTCAGGTCAATTGGGTGAGTAGAATGGTACAGTTTAGTGGTTGAAGGTCCATTGCCCGAATTGGCAGCATAGCCCTAGACAGAAAATGGTGATTTTGGGCAGTTTTAGTCTAACAGGCATAATAAATTCTACATGTGTCTGATTTTTGTGAAACCAGTTGCATTTGAAAGATAAGACCTCAATCTAGAATCCTTTAAAATTTCAGAATTTTTAGAGACACCTAGAAACTGCAGTTCACTGCGGAAGTTAGGGAAAATTCTTGATCTTTCCTTCACGTTTTTCATTTAACAGTCTATCTCTAACTTGCATAAAATGGGCTAGAGACCTCCGTTTTGAGTGATTCCAGTTGCATTTGAAAGCTCTACCATGCTATTTTCTGTCTACCAATTTTAAGAGCAGTTGGAGAGTGTATGAATTGTCACGAAGGGCGCAAGTAAGCTGCCATGTTCTATGGCTGATTTAAGGACAGCCAGTTTAGAGAGTTTGTAGCTTGGACTCTAGAAGTCCTATTGGATTCATTCCTTTTGCAATTAAACCTGTATTCAGAACCTTACAATTGAATTAGAATTAAAATCACATAACTAGGAATTAGGCGAAAAGAGTCTACACTAAGTGGACATAAATAAACAACAAAGTGTTAACGTCTGAATTGACTGTTTTACTGCTTGATGAGGTAAAACTTGTGTGTGCTTATTGCTTCCATGCTACATGTAAATTACAACACTTGTCACACAAGTCTAGTTGTACACATATACATTGAAAATGACATGAACGTTGGAAATGTCACAAGAAGACTCCCCCACAAGGAAGCGTGATACAAAAAGAAAATAAAAAAATATGAAGAACCAATTCAATCAACTATGACTGGAGTAATCAGAGGCTTATTTGAGAAGAAGGCTTCCAAATTGTGTGCCATAAGTTGGCACATACCCATGTAAGACTCTGAAGTTAAAGCAGCTAAATGTGGTGATAGGACCACATTATCCAACCCAAAGAACTCTTTAGGAACATGAGGCTCACCCTCAAACACATCCAAACCAGCACCACCAACCTCTCCATCCATTAAACACTTCAACAATTCCTTTTCATCTATGAGAGCCCCTCTTCCAACATTGATTATGATTCCTTCTTTTCCCAATGCCAACATGACTTCTCTGTTGATCATGTGCCTTGTTTGGTCATTTAGTTCACAACAGAGAACAAGTACATCACTGTTAGTTGCAAGCTCAACAACACTGCCATAGAAAGGGTATGAAACAAATGGCTTTTTGCTCCTAGAGTGGTATAATACAGTGCATCCAAAGCCCTTAACTAGCCTATGTGCAACTTCCAAGCCAATTTTTCCCAAACCAATAATACCAACCTTCTTGTCTCCCAGCTGAAACATCATTTGTATGCGTATATATAAATAGATATAGATAGAATGCATGACAATCAACATTCACATATTTGTGTTGATACATGGTGTATTATTAAAAATTATGTCAAGCATTATCAGTTTCGAAATGGAATATAAAATTATTCATGTATTTTCATCAAATAACTTAGCTAAACTTATTTGAACTAAGAAAACTCTTGAAATGAAACCATAACATGTCCTATTAGACTAAACTCTGTTGGATGCGTTGTCAACTTCAAACGTTTCTCCCCACGTCTATATTTTGATATTTTTTGACATTAAAGATTGAGATTTTGAAATTCTTCCTCCGAGTAACATCTCTGAGGAGAATTTCTCTATCAGAAAATTTTTATGTCCTCCATGGAAAAATTTACCATCATATGTAATTTAATATGTATCATTTTAATTACCAAAAAAAATGTATCATTTTAAGTATGTAAATTATTACTATTATCTATTAGTTTAATAATAATTTTTAATATTACTACAAAAATGGCACATATTAAATAATACAAAACAAAAGTATTTTATTATTTTAAAAACACTCTAAAAACTTCAAATTTCTCTATCTCTTAAACCTCTCTCTCATTACACAAAAACCAAAACTAGATTTTACAAAAATTAGTGCTAGCCTAATCTTTGCAACGCCTTAACTTTAATCTTACCAAAGAAATGTAAAATCAATTAATACATCATAAAATATTACTAGTAAGTTAAATTATTAATCTAATATCATAAAGCCACTATGGGCTAATGACGAGAAACTTGAGTAGGTTCAAACCCAGTGCCGTACAAGAAAAAAAAAATCTAGTATCATATAAAAGAAACCTTAAATACAAGAATATATTTATGGCTTCTTTTCGCATGTAAGTAGAATCATAACATAACTATCAAGAAAAGAAAAAGAAGTAGAATCGTAAAATTTCTCATGTAAAGTAAAATCATAAAAAATTTACTTGTTTAATTGTTTAGGCAAACTATTTATTCATCTAATCCAAAAAGACATGAATTCTAGATTCAAACAGTATATAAAAATCAATATTGATTTACCATGCACCGTGCATACAAAATGTGCATGGAAAAATGCACGATTTAAATGTACACAATAATAATGGGCGTTTTACATAGCATAACACTGGATCGGCGCAAGTTGACTTTTACATAAATCGAGAGTGATATACAATTTGATCAAATTTTCACATTAAATTGATAAATAGATTATAATTACATAATTAGACTTAGGGTTTTATGCATCTCATATTATATCATATGAGCCTTCTTATAATATACTTAGAAAAAATCATATGTAAAATTCACGTAAACACGAAAATTAACTGGTGTGTAAAAAAAAATTCATTTCTCATGTACCAGAATAAAACCCTTAGACTTAAATGTGTCGAAAAGATATTTTTTTTAGGAATAGGATATTGTAACAATCAAATAATATTACTATTAATATTATTATCAACCAATTTTACTGTTAGATCGATTATATTAATTCAATGGTTATATTTATTTTTATCTTTGTATGGTTATGATTCTCCATATTTAATACTTTATATTTATTTTCACATTTGTATGGTTATGATTTTCTATATTTAATGCTTTCACTTTAAATATGGGGAATCATAATCATATAAAGATGAAAATAAATATAACCGTTGGATCAACGTAATCGATTTAACGATAAAATTAATTGGTAATAATACTATTTAGTTGTTAGAGTATCCTTCCCAGTTTTTTGTAAACGAAAAAGTAAATAAATAAATAACAAACCTTGGATCCGAGGGGAAAATTCCAGGGAGGGGGAACATGTCTTCTCAAATAGCGATCGGCGGCGGAGATTTTGGTGACGACGTCAATCAACAAACCGACGGCCAAGTCGGCGACATCCTCGGAGAACAAGTTTCCTATGCCGGCAACCTGAACTCCGCGGCGGCCGCACTCGGACAAGTCTATGTGGTCGGTTCCGGAGCTAGGGGTGAGAACAAGGCGGAGAGATGGAAATAATCCGAGGGCGTCGGCGTTGAGGGGTTGTCCGCCGTAGCAGATGAGAGCGGTTATGGATGAAGGGTCATGGTCTCCGGTGGCTATGAATTGGCGTAAAGGGAGAGAGGAAAGGTTTAGGAAATGGAACTTGTTAGAGTAGTGGCGTTGGAATTCGGAGGAGACCATAGGAGGAAGGAGAAGAAGGACACGTGGGAGATTTTGGTTCGCCATCGATGAACAACTGTGAGATGAATCGGAAGGAGAGGGGTCATAGTTCACTCCACAAAGCCAATGTCAACGGTGATAAGCGCTTTTTTTTTTTATAGAACGATCAAATTGTGGAACATTGACGCCCTTTTGTTTTTTTGAATATAATATACCTTAATGCTGCTAAGGAATCGAATTTTTTTTTTAAACTATCAAGGCATCCTAGCAGCTAAAATAGTCACTTATTGTGAACCCGTGGCCGGACATGTGTCTCGTCCATAGTAGCTAAGTCATCGATCATGATGCCATGGCAATTTGGCAAAATAAAATTCAACTACATGATATTAAGGTGTATTATATTTAAAAAAGACACAATACTGTCAGTGTCCCTCGAACTGTCATGATTTTTCAAGATTTGATCTGAGAATTAAGCAGTAATGAGTATAAGATCCATTATTGCTGAAAGCTGATCCTTATATTCGTAACAATGTGACAAAATAATAATTCAGTTACGTATTAATAAAAAACCGTCAATTAGGACCCGCTTTCAGGAATAATGAATCATGTGGCTGTATCTATATCACTGCTATTCAGGACCAGTCGTTACTGAGGTCCTGTAATATTTTGGAAAAAAATGTTCTACAGCGCGGCATTTAAATAAAGAGAAAAATTACGCACACTCTTTGATAACTGTGTCATCTTTTTCTTTTCTTTTCTTTTCTTTTTATTTTTCAGCTGGTGGAGTCCACAAGTTTGTTTTTATAACAAGAGATAACTTATCTCCCTTTAACATGATATTAATAAAATCCTTAAATTGTCATGTCTTCTTCTTCTGCTGTTCAATCACTTTCTTTAATGATATCATAGGGTGATTAATATTTTGCCTTCTTTTGAAATTTATTTATCACTTCTTCTCACTTCCATATTATATATCGTCTTATTTTTAAATTAAATATTAATTTATACGTGTTTGACCGATATTGTTTAACTAATCTATTAATTTATTCATGTAGATGTCAGTTAAATATTAATCAAACATAAAAAATTATTATATAATTTGAGAGAATAGACAAAAATAATATGTAATCCGGAAGAAGAAGAAAGTAGTAAATTAATTTTCAAATAGGATAAAATAGTCAATCAAACTAATTTCATATCATTATTCCAACATTATATCAATTTTATGATAAATTTTTAAATTTATTTTTATAAAATATTGATGATAAATATAAGGGAAAAGTGATATTTATAAATATCATTCTTTTCACAAATTTCCTTTTGGAAGGAGTATCAAGATAAATCTCTTTTTCACTTTCTTTTGGATAAGGTTGTAAGAGTTGTACTTTGACAAAATAAAATTAAAAAGGAAAAAGTTCAAAAATCTGTTTTGAATCACTTACACTCATATTTTTTATTTTTAATCACTTAATTATATGTAATTTTTTTTATCCACACTCCTTTTTAACACTGTTAGAAACTTAATTAAATATTTATATTTTACCCTTCTTAAAAGAAGAAAAATAAAGTGACAAAAGAGAAAGAAAAATAAAGCTAAATATTATGAAAACTTAAAACACTTAATAAAAGACTAAAAGGAAAAACAATAAAAGAAAAAAAGATCAAATGTGTCAAAATAACAAAAAAATAAGAACAAATACGTTAAAAATTACAATAGCGACATAAAAGATTAAAATAAATATTTCCAAAAAAAAAAAAGATTAAAATAAAAAAATAGTCTAAATGAAAAAGAGAACTGAAGATAAAAAATAGAAGATAAAATTAAGATAAAAAATAGAAGAAAAAATTAAGATAAAAAAGAAATAGAAAAAAAGAAATCACTATTATGAGTTTCCAATATATTTGATTTTATTTTTTTCTATTTTTTTGTTTTGGGTCTATTTTATTCTTTTTTATTTAAATATGTTTCTTCCTTTTTCCATTTTTTATTTTTTTAACCTTTTGATTTTTTTATCACTATCGAAAGAAATGGAAGAAAAATAAGATAAAATATAAATAAAGAAAAAGAAATCTGTGTTGTAAATTTTCAACATATTTAATCATATTTTTTTTGCTCAGTCTACTTTATTCTTTTTTATTTAGGTATATTTAATTTTATTTTTTTACTTTGTCTTTTCTGTTGTAATTTTTCAACAACTTGATTTTTTTTCTTCTATTTTTTTATTCTTAATCTATTTTCTTTTTTTTTATTTAGACACATTTGATTTTTTTTCTTCTATTTTTTTCTTTTAGTATTTAATATAGATGTTTTAAGTTTTCATAATATTTGGTCTTATTTTTCTTTTTTTAATCACCCCTTTTTCTTTTTCTAATAAGGATAAAGTAAGTATATTAGTTAAGTTTTTAAAAGTATTAAGGAGCGATGTGGATGAAAAAAATCAGATGGGATTAAATAATTAAAAAATAGGGGTATAATTGATTCAAACAATATCATAAGAGATTTTTGAACTTTTCGTAATTAAAAATTAAGTTTAAACCTTAGAGTAAATACTTGACTATGTGCAAAAGATATTGTAAAACGTGATGCACTACTTATTACGTATGCGTCACCTGTTTTTACAAATTATTTATTGAATGTAAAAAGCATAATAGAATGATGCGGAGACTTATTTATAGATTAAAGTTATAAAAAAATTATTTTGACAACAAAAAATATTTAAAACAGTGTTTTAAAACTCCACCTCACTCCTGGATTGACCCGGGTCAACCCCGACCCCTCCCTTTTGAGGGTTGGAGTCACAAGTTGGACCCTATATGCACATCGACCCCTCCGACCCCCAAAACTTGGCCGGATTTCAGTGACTCCTGGGTCAGAAGGGTCAAAGGGGTCACTGCATGTTTTTTTTTTAAAGAAAATTCAATGACACATCGTCGTTTTATTAAAAGATTAAAATAAAAATGGTTGCAAACTTAAATCTAATCGTTCTCTTCTCTCCCAGCGACCTAGACTTGTGTATCTTGATATTTTGGTATCATTAGAATATGAGTTTTGTACTTTGGTATCTTGATACTTTAATTAGGTTATGTAATATTGACTTGTGGTTGTAATTGGTGAATTATGTTAAGTATATTTTGAATCTTCGAGGATTGGTAATTTATTTTTTAATATTTTCATATAGGATATATGTATTTATATTTTTTTAATATATAAAACTGGGTCAGCGTAGAGACCCCATGACCACCCGGTTGAATCTGTGACTCCATGAACCCTTACCTCGACCGGGTCGATGGCCGGGCCGAGTTTTTAAACACTGATTTAAAAAAATTCTAGACCCTTTATGGCGTTTACCATATACTGCCACGAATATATTGCATTTTAATGATTCAAAGTATGTTTTGCCATTGAGGATTTCAAGGCTAAGTCACCAGCAACAAAATTTGTAGTGAAAACTTTGAATAATCTACATTCCAAGTTTTGCAATTGTGTACTTTAATGAGTGAGAGAGAGCGAGTTTTTAATCAATGCTATAAAACACCAAGACTCTCTAACAACTTGGCTTTGATAAAAGAGGAAAACAAGATAAAAAAATAAACCAAAAAAATGAAAGAAATTTTCTTACAGCTAGCCTAGCCTCTTAGGCTAGACACCAATTGTGAAGCTACGATGCATGAATACGGGACACAGGACACGGCACTCGGACACGTTAATTCTAAAAAATATTAAATTTTGACACGTTAGGACACGTTTTGATATTAAATAATATTTTTAATATATATAATATAGTTTACATTTAATATATATAGCAACTCATAATAACTTATATACTAATCAAATATTCAAATTTCATAACATAATTATTAAAAAAAAAAATAGAAACATCCCAAAGTGTAAAGTGGAAAAAAATAGAAAAATTATTTTACTTATGATTACACACGGTTCAATTACATACAGACACACACATATACATATAGGGGCAAGATCCTTTAACACTGGTGTCAAACTTTAAAATTTGACATCAAATCATAACCGTTGATTTTCGTCAATCAACGATTATCATTTATTGGAAATCAAACTCATTAATTAATATTAATTCTCAATAAATGATAACCGTTGATTGGCGGAAATCAACAGTTGAGATTTGGTGTCAAATTTTAAAGTTTGACACCGGTGTCAAATCTCATATATATATATATATATATATATATATATATATATATATATATGAGGTAGGATCCTTTGACACCGGTGTAAAATTTGAAGTTTCACACCTCATCTGAGAGCCGTTAGATCAAAAAAGATCAACGACTCTAATTTGTGAGCATGTGACACCATTGATCTTTTTTGATCTAACGACTCTCAGATGAGGTGTGAAACTTCAAATTTAACACCGATGTCAAAGGACCATGCCTATATATATATATATATATATATATATATATATATATATTCTTTAAAAAGAAACAAAAAAGAAGCTCAGCCATACCAACTACAACCCACCCGAACCCATTTGGTCCCACCAGCGCAATTGTCTAGAATTGGCCTTAAAAAGCACTAAGAATAAAAACTCTTAATTGTTGACGAAGAAAATAGCTGAAATAAAAAAACCTCCTGCACCTTCCTCATCTTCCTCGGTACCCCCACCATATACACCGCACACACCCGCCTCCCAAGTTCCAAACTTTCCTTCCACCGTCACTCAGATCGGAGATTTGCCACCACCCACCTTAGCATCCGCGCTTCCTCCACTTCCGAAGTGTTGGTCTCCGACAACAACGGAGTGAGACCCGGTTTATATTAAACAAACGAAGTGTTGGTCTCCAAACTTATGAATCATATGGTTTCTGTTGTCCTCGGATTTGAGCTCCATTGAGGTGGATGCTGTCACTGAGACAGAGCTCAAGGAGAATGGGTTCCGCACCACGAGGAGGACGAAGCAGTTGGAGTGTGCACCGTGGGATCTTCGAGGAGCTGGAGTTTTTAATTTTATTAAATATTTTTTTAAATTATAATTTTATTTCTTTTTTTAAAAAAAAATATCAAAACGTGTCCACATCATTAACTGCGTGTCGGATTCGGTCAAATTCGCGTGTCCCACTAGTCAACGTGTTCCAAAAAATTGACTGCATGCCATGTCAGAACGTGTCGATATCCGACACGTAAATTTCTTCAAGAATCACGTATCTGTGCTTCAGAGTTGTGAAGCATACAAATATTCACTAACCGATTGATATATTGAAACTCGCTCAGCATAACATAATTCATGCCTTTCAAATAAAAGATCAAGAAGGCCAAAAGTACTTTACATTTGGATAACATATTTAAAACCCTCATAAATACACATATAAACAAGGTAAATGCAGCAAAATAAGCTTTACAAGCTGAGCGTCCATTACCTTACCTATGAATCTATATTCAAAACAACTGGTCAATCAACTACGGACATAAGGCTCAAAAAGTTTAACGCATGGATTTGGATCATACTGCATAATATCAGCAGCTCGTTCAAACTCTTCCCTGAGAACTTTGATGCTATGTTTATCTACCACTCGACCCAGATCATGAGATATTTCAAAAGGATCCTCTATGCATATCAAATGGCGATCATTACCAATCCTTCTTGTCCAGTCCTTCTCTCGCTTGCTACACAAAAAGCAGCATCATATATTTAGTTAAATGAAAAGTCTTGTCCAAAGCCCTATACTTGCTATAAAATACCATCCTCACAAAAGATTTAAATGAACAAAGCATTACAGATTTTATCCCAACAAAAGCCAGATATATTTTACCCCAGGGAAGCACTATAAGGAGAAACCAATAGTCCCAAAGTGATAACAGAACAGAACTGCAAAGCACACGGAGGCGATAACTAGAGGAAGAAACAGAAAGAAGGCAATGGCCAATAACAAACTTCAGATCTATTGAATGCTAGGCCATGAAACAAAAGTTTGCTTTTATTGTTTTTCTATTTTATTCAACATTACAGCTATTTTATTCAAGCAGGGATAAAAGAAATAGACTGCATCAGGAAATCACAATGTGATTCCACCCCCTCCCTATTGGCTTATTAATGCAAGATAAGTTCATTTCAGTACTTAGCATTACTGATTGCTTAGTACATTATTTATAAACCCCTGATGTCAGAAAACAACAACAAATTTGTACAACAAAAACCAACAACAACCATTAGAACTATTAAGAGAACTATGAAGATTTTAAAATTTATAGATACTTAGTTCTCTTACCTGATTATGCTTCCTGTACGTACAGATATAACAGCATTTGCATAATCATGACAATATGCCCAATAATAGAAAAATCCCCACACAAGCTGAGAAATAGTTTCCTTGTTATGGCGTCCAAAATCAGAAAGTTTTTCAACTTGATCAAAGTAAGCACAATCAATATCGTCCACAGTCACAGAGTATGTTGCCTCCATCTCCTATAAAGAAAATAGTATTTCATTAAAAATTACATGCATTATAACTTACAAAACTAGGCATATGATGAACAAACACTACTCTAGTGAAAATGAGTGACATGCTTAATGAGGAAGAATTAGATATGTTCACTTTGAATACTGCAAAAATGTTATTCCATAATATTAGCCATGCCATAGTAAACATGAAAGCATACATGATTCATATATAGTTAAAGTACTTTGCTCCAAGAAAATCCTAGAAGTGAATAGTGTTTTTCCAAAAACAATTGTAGGGATTTGCTATAGCACAGAATTTAAGTGCTTTCCAGCCAATCACATGGAAAAGAAAATGAAAAGAAGCTTAGCACTCTCGGTTAATTTAATTTCACTTTCTATGAATAATAGAAACACCAACCATTGTGTTCAGATGAAAAAGAAGGGTACTTCTGAAACTTAAGTAGCACAAATAACAACATTCTAGAAAGGCCTTGTCCAGATATATCTTTCATGGAGGAATAATGCAAACTAAAGTACACACCTGTAAGCATGGAAGGATAGCAGGTCTTCGCTGTTGTAAAAAATGAATGCACATCAAAACATACCTGAAATTAGAATTGTACAAATTATTATTTTTAGGGCAAAATATCATGTCACCACATTTATCTGCACTCCAATCATTCGATCATAGTAATTTACCTAACTTAGATACGGCAAAACAAATTCATTTCAACAAGAATAGCATCAAAAGCTAACTTACGCATAGCTAGATAAGGTCCCATGGTAGGTTTCATTGACTCCTCTTGACTTTGCCCAATGTTTGATAATAAAAGCCAGCTGCCGTAACCTCAAATCTATGCAGCCATAATCCCGAAGAAGTCTCGTATTTACTACAGCCAGGAGATTGTTAATGCATATGTCACAAGAGATTCCTGTCACTGGATCCATGAGCTTTACTATAGGAACCCTTGCTCGTGTCAATGCCTGTAAACAAACTCAAATTAAGGACTCCAAAAAAAAAAAATTAATTTCAATTTAATTATTCCAAAAAAAAAATTCTCCTTTTCTTTATCTCTCTATTCTTTCATATTTGGGTTATGTTTTATTCCTCAAGGAACCCTTAGCATATCAATGTCTTGCCAAAACCAAGGGTACACAGCACACCAAGCCGACAAAAAATTGCTGGTAAGTTGTAATATTACTCCAGCATTTAATTAAAACGAGAGGTAGGGTGGGAGCAATTCACACAGTACTTCATCCTACAACCTTTTCACATTGTCTCTCTTTCTCTATCCATGTCTCTCACTCTTCCAAATCCAATTTTTTCATTTTTTTTATATCAATATTTAGAACAAAAAAATATTTCATCTTTTATCAAAAAAAGAAATAAAACTCTCCCCAAACCAAACCAACCCTCCCTTACCACCTTCAACCTTCCCCAGCAAGCCAATTATTCATTACCTTGAATAGCAATGAAGTAGATTGCAGAATTGGAAAATTTTATTCCACATGTAGGATTAGGAAGATAATTAACAGAAGTTTACAAACAACATATGATTATGCACATATAAGCTCTCATTGCCTGTGAGAATTTATCAATGAACAATGACAAGGCAGTGGAATAATATATGTCTACGAAATAGAGAATACTTTTCCACCATCTAAGACATAATTCAAAGGCGATCTCCTCATAGCAAATTTCACAATTTATCTCTTATATAAAACAAAAGTCATTATACTTTACGAAAAAATTTCTAATCAGTCATAAAGAAGCAGCTCCTGCTTTAGCAAAATAAGTGTTGAAAATTTCTTTATATATGTAAATGAATACAAACTACCAAGATATACGATAGCAATATATAGAGAACATAGTAATCTTCTCACCTGCACATTCTGCAGGTTATCTGATTGCAAAATATCGGCCAATTTAATTATAATCTGGGATTTCTCCATGCCTGCTTCCTCAATAGCAAGGCAAACATCAATGTCACTTTTTGAAACGTCAAATGAATTAGCACATGATCCATAGAGATAAAGACGAGCTGTTGGCCACTCCTCATTAACTAATTTCTCCAATAACACTAACAATTGCTTTTGCTTCAGCTTTTCTTCTTCAGGAGGTATTAGAGACTCATATATTGCAAGGAAAGGAGCATTAAGACTATCTATGTCTCTTCGACAAAGCATCTGTCTTTTGTACATTCTCGCCCTCTGACTTAGCAGCTGTTGTCCTCTTGAATCTGATGATCTAGCATCCTGATAATAAATGCTGTAAGTAACCTCATGCTTTAAGAATCTATTTCTTTTACACTAAATTGACAAATAATAACATGATATGAACCTCATAATTGGATGATTGATGGCTAACTGTAAAATTCAATCATCTATCTATATTTTTTCCAAAAGCAGTTCTTCAAAGAAATTTAAAATAAAAACTTTCAATGCAGCATCGACAATATCAACAAATACAGGACACTCAAACTACTTGAATTAAATTCAATTAAAAATTTAGTTTTTCAGAATGATTGGCAATCCATATCTACCAGCAATATCAACAAATGGTAAGTATTAAACCTTCTCCCGAGTGCTACGGCGTTGCCCTGAGTTATTCTTGTCATCAGACTCAACCTCAAGCAACAAGGAATCAGCTAACTTCTCCCCAAGGACATCAGCATCAGCATCACCTCTGCCAGAGTCACCCTCCATCTTTGATCTCCTAACTCCCTTATACTTATCTCTAACACCATCTTCAACAATGCCACTCCGAAAATTCGACCTAGAATCTTCAATGCCAGGATGATCAAGCCGTTCAATAGGCCCCATTTCACGTGCCACATTGCCTCTGGTGTTGCTCCTTTCACCAGACACAGTTCTCACACTTTCCTTCTTAGTGTACAAACTCTCATTCCTACCAGCCAATTCACCAGAACCAACAACAACCACCCTAACATCACTACCCTCAGGACCCTTCCTACCAGTGCCAGAACCCCAATAACCCTTTCCCCTGGGCTTGTTTCCAAACCCAGGTGGTGGAGCTCTACTAGTTTCAGGGGTTGCCCCAACAGACCTAAAACTCCCAACCCCACTTCTTTCTTGTTCAACAAAATCTCGATCACCACCATGTAGAACAGCATTCCCAGTCGAATTCGAATTAGGGTTTACCTTGGGGTCCACATGCAAGTTCCTATCAAACCCGTTATAGCTTGTGTGGAACTTCGAATTGAGCAAGGAATCCACATTGGACGAAACTTCAGGAGCAGCATAAGCAACAGGTGGTAAAGACCCGAACTTTAGCTTCAGTTCTTGTTGCTTCTGCTGCTGAACGAAAGCATCGACCCTTTGGTTGATGTCGTTGTTTATGTTGATGCTGCTGTTGCTGTTGCTGTTGTTATTGTTATTGTTTCCTTCAATCGGAAACCCTAAAATTCGCAGATCATCGCCGAAGGGAATTGGGGTAGCGAGGAGGTGGTTTCCGGGTACCCGAGTATGATGAAACGGGTCATGGGGTAACCCGAAAAAGTTTGGCGGGTAAGGAAGAGAGAGAGTGTGGGACCACATAGGAAGATGATGTTGAAGATGATGATGATGATGAGGTTGGGGATGATCTGGACCGTTGGATGGCCACGGAGACGCGGCGACGGGGATCGTGGGGCCCATGATGGCGACGGCGGGATCGACGGCAGGAGATTGTTGTGGCGGCGGTGGCGGGGGCGGGGGATGATGGGGTTGGTGTGGGTGGTGGCGGGGTCCCTGGATAAGAGAGAGGAGGAACTCGCCGCCGTTGGATGACGGCGGCGGTAAGTCACCTCCACCGCCGTTCATTGAAGTGTGTCACGGCGGCGAGGTTGGTGTTTGGTAGGGAGTGGAGCTGTGTGAGTTTTGAAAAAAATTGAGTGAGAAAAAAGTGCGTTAAGGAAAAGCGTTTTGTGAGAGATAAACTTAAAAGAGAAGTTTCGTAACGTAAGAAAGATATTTATATCATAAAATTTTGTGGAAAAATTTGGATGCAATGGGATGCGTCTTTTGATTTTGTTATTTTCCTTTTGGGGCCAATCCTTATTATTATGTTTTAGTGTTTTAGTTGAATACGATTCATGAGGATACACAATACAAAAATCGTATTATTTAGTTAATTTCTCATTATGATTTTATTTTATTTAATAATATTATGTTCTAAAACAAGTGTCGTGGTTTGGATAATAGGTGACATGGATGATAAAAGCGCGTATGAAAGCATTGAAGATTGAACAACACCTTTCATGACTTTTGTTATAAAAGCTATGTTTTTAAAATCTGAAATTAATGATTTCCAAAAAGAAAAAATCTTCTTGGTATATACCGGGTAACATCGGGCAGGATATTATAGGTTTTTTATGAAAATCTATTACGGGATTTTGGTATATACCGGGTAACAACTTAATTTCGATAATCAGTATATCACAAATCTTCTTGTGTGTGATACTTAGGAAGGTGTATTGGATTAAGATTTTGAAAGATTTTCTTTGAGATAAAAGATCTTCTAGATTTTAAAAGATTATTGAAATTGGACGGACTTTAAAAAAAAATTTAAAAGACATTATTTACAATTAAGATTTCATAAGATTGAATTTTAAAGAATTTTAATAGAATTTATAAGATTTGAAAGGACAATATGAATTTATAAGATTTTAAAAAATTATATGAATTTTTAACAAAGATTCAAAATTACAAGAGCCAATAAAAAAATAACAAAGAAATGCAATGATATTAATAAAAAAATGTAAAATGTAACATAATTTTCTCAATCAATAAAACATAATATAAATTTTAACAAACATTCAAAATTACTTAGGAACAACTCTTCACATATCTAAAATTATACTTGTCCTCCATGCATTAGCATTTTCTTGTTCATTCTCTTGGATTTGACCAGTGAGTTAAAAATTATCTTTTTCATTTGGTATCAGAGTTATGCATATATGATTATAAGACCCAATTTTTATTTTTATTAAAATAATTCTAAATTTACATATAGAACTTAAAGTTCATGATAAAATTTCGTTTGAAATTTTTTGCAATTGATCTTGAAAAACTTGGGATTTTTGTTCTACGTGATGAAAGTTTTCTAACTATATATTATAGGTTTGATGTTTGTCCTTTTAAAGGACATAAGTTATGTCATTTTAGGAGAGAGATAGACACAAGGAATAAAAATAATGTAGGAGAAAGTGAGTGATTTTTTTAATTTAAATTTTAAATAAAAAAATCTTATTTTTTGTCTATCTCTCTTTTTATATCATTTAAAATGACAAACACGTTTTATAAAAAAAAAAAATGACAAACACTTTTCTCATATATCATATGCATGTTTTCATTAAGTATTCTAAGAAAATTTCAAATCTAAATTTCTGGATTTTATTACATGAAAGTTTAGAAAATTTCTGAAATTATTTTCAATCGATACATTAAAACCTGAATTTCTGAGTATTCATTAAATTGATTTGGGGCTTTTAAAAAAAAAGTTTTTAGTGATCTATTGATACAAAAATTGTTTGAAATCGTTTCTTATAGCAAAAGAATTTCGTTCATGAACGTATTGTTACGAAATATAGGGTTAATATCATAAAAGTTTCAATCTTTTTTTAAATTGATCTTGTTTCGTTGATGTAAAGTGAAAATTGGTTTGAGGGTTTTATGTTATTTTTAATACTAAAATTATACATTTTTGTGCCAAGGAAAATAGCGATCCATAGCTTGAAAAATTATTTTTTAAACTTCCAAAAGCTCTCAAAAATCTATTGTTTTTTAGAAGGATTATAATTAGGGGTGGCAATTCCTGACACGACCCACTAACCCGACCCGGACCTGACACGACTCGCTAACCTGATCCAGACCTGACATGAAATTTTTGTGTTAGGGTCAACTCGTTTTGCTATTCGGATCGTGTTCGGGTTGAAGAAAAATGACACCAAAAAATTCGTGTCGGGTTCGGGTTAACCCGTTAACCCGCTCTGACCCGCAAATAGTTTTTGTATAAGGTTATTATAGTCATTTTGTTGGATATTTTTTTATTGTGAGATGTATGTGCTTTTATTGGATGTAAAATCAGTGCCTAAATACAGGTTTTGAATGTGAGCATTCTAAAACTCGTGTCGAGTCATGTTAACATGTGTAATAATGGGTCATGGTTACATTATAAGGTTATTTGTGTCATGTCGTGTCAACCCGTAAAATAAGCGGGTCGTGTTCGGGTTGAAAATTTTGACACGAATACTTAATCGAGTCGTGTTCGGGTTGAGATTTTTCGTGTCATGTGAAATTCAGGTCGTGTCGGGTCGTGTCGACACGAATTGCCACCCGTAATTATAATAGAATCTTGTTGGTTTGTTTTATCTGGATTATTTTGTGATGAAAATCGCTCAAAAATTTGCTGTTTTGAGCTTTGATGAAGTTCCCATGGCAGAACCTCGTTTTGAGTTAGTCAACCCATCAAAGGAAGAAGAAAATACTGCAATAGAGAAATCTGAAGAAATCCTAGAGGTTAGAGTGAGATTATGAGAGATGCATCCTATTTATATTTCTTTCTAAAATGTCTCACGAAATCCACTCTAATAGAAAATCCATTCAAAATCGTTAGATTTTTGAATAGCACGAGATTATTTTTCCTCCGTTTAAAATCCTGATTGAATACCAACGAATTTGGATAGACTCTAAAATAATCTTTTAAAATCCTAATCGAATATCACGTGACTTTTTTTCAGTACTTTAAAATCCTAATCGCATACCAATAATTTTTTTTTATCTAAACACAATCTAATAATTCAATCCAATACACCCCCTTAGGGTCGTTTGGTGTAGATATAAGATAGGACGGATAGGATAATAGACTAAAATAAAAATATGATAGGATAATAAAGTGGGATAAAAAAAGGATAGGATAACAGAGTGTTTTGTATTAGATAAGCAATTTCATAAGATAATATTATCTTATCCGATTTTTGAAATAATTATATGCAATAATGCTATAATATAAAAAAAATAAAAAACTATTTTTAACATAATTTTATATGATTTTTTGAAATTAATTATTAAACTATTTCTTATTTATACATTAGTTCTTATTTTAATTTATTAGAAAATTTTAAAAGTCATAATTTTAAATTAAATATATTAAAATACATAAATAACTTGCAAAAAAATTTAAAAAAAATTAAACCCTCGCCAAATAATTTTTAAAAAATCAAGTTCTAAATCAATTATCGACTAATGGCTTGTGACAAAGGGTGGTGTTAGTGACGATTGTGAAGGATGAGAGTAGTGGCGGAGCCAGCAAAACTATTCAACCCATGCAAAAAAAATTTAGCCAATGTCAAATTCTAAATTCTTTCCCTTTCGGGTGCTGCAACCTAGCTATAGTTATTTACCCAATGCACTGGATGGAGCCAATGTGGCTCCGCCACTAGATGCTAGCAATAGGGGGTGGTGATGGTGCCAACGATGGTCGGTAATAATTTTGCTGGCTAATTGATAGTGGCAACACGACTGCAGGTGGTTAGTGGAAGTGATAATGGTGGCGCTGGCAATAATCGATGTCAACTGTTGTAACTGATTGATGGTTGCAATGGTGGTGGCTAATAGTGGTGATGGTGATGATTGTTGTCTAATGTCTAGTGGTAGTGGCGACGGTGCTGGCCAATGACAATAAAACTAACAACAATGGTGGTGGTGGTTGGTACAATGGTGGCAGATAAAGGTGGTGGTGGCGGCTATGCCAACAATGACAAGTGGGAATTGTGGGGCTGATTAGTGGTGGTTGTGGTTAGTGCCTGATGATTAGGGTGGTGATTAGTGCTTGGTGACAATGGGGGTGGCTGATAGCTCATGGTGATGGTGTTGGCCTTCCTCCTTCAATGCTAAGCCCAAGCCCATTTGTGGGGTTTCCTAAAAACCTTAACCCTATTTTCCACCTCCTCTATATATACTCATTAGTTGAGGGTGGAGGCTAGGTCAGATTTGAGAGAACAAATTTGAGAGAATTATTTGATTGTTTGAGCAAAAGCTTTATGCTTTGCATTTGAGAGATCTCTAGAGAGAGTTTGAGTGAAACATCTCTAGGGTAGTTTGATTATCACCATTGTTGGAGAGGTTGAGTTAACCACCACATTGGTGTATTTGATTATTTGTAACCATTCTTTTCATAGTGGATTTCTGATCTGGACTAGGTCCCGTGGGTTTTTACTTCTTCATTCAAGAAGGTTTTCCCACGTTAAAATCTGGTTGTGTTCTTCTTCTCTCTCTCCTGTTTCCGTTTTGATTTTTCCGCTGCGCTGCCTGACCTGGTGAAGTTCAGGCAAAGGTATTGTCGAGATCCGAGATCATGATCTTGTTGATTGACTTCCATATAAAGGCCCCTGAGCCGAGCTTGAGGGAACCGAGTTTTCCCAACAGATGGTTGATGACAATGGTGGTGGTTGACTGATGGATGCTGGATGCAGTAATGGGTGCTAGAGGTGGCTGCCGACGGGGGCAGCTGCTTGACAATGGCAATGACAATGGAGAGAGATGTAACATTTGTTTTCTATCCTGTTTATTTCTCACTCAAATCCCCTCTTAGGATAGCTTATTTTGTTACGGACATAATAAAATGAGATAATAAGATAAATTTATTGTATCTTATTAGTTCACCAAACATTGAATAAGGGTAAGATATAATAAGGTATCTTATCTTGTCCTTTGTATCTTAACCACTAAATGGTCCCTTAAAAAACAAAATCAAACCACATCACTCAAACATTTTTTTTAATTGTTATTTTTTAAACTGGGGATAAGTGATTTATCCTCTATCGTGTGATAATACGATAATAATTTAAATCGCATTATTATTGAGGATAAATAACTTATCTAATCTCTCAAAAGTACCTCATGCTCTGGTTACCCTGCTGCTACTCGTGCAGAGTGGTCTGTGACCCTTTGTGGGGTCTCCTCTATAGATATCTGCAGACAAACTGATACCAGATACAAACACCAATCGACCAACTACCAATTGGACATTTTCGATCCTCTCGTACTGTTAAGTGTTAACAGTGCATTTATATTTCGATTTTACGGAACTCTAAAAATGCTAATTAGATATTGCCCAATTGATAGCGAACAAAAAAGGAATTGTAGAAAGAGAAAAAGTTTCATTGTATAAGAATTTGAAAATAAATTGGAAAAGGAATGAACTGAAAGCTGTTACTTTTTCCACCAATATCCCATATTTGTCATCCCAAATTAGGATGGGCTATATTTGTTTAAGGGCAATGTTTTTTTCATGCTACATGAGATAGTATTATCTCATGTAGAGATATAATTAGGTGGATCCTACGGTTAAAAGAAAAAAAAAAATGTTGACTCAGATTGCGATGTGTCTGTGACATGAGATAAATTTTTTTTATGTAACTTGAAAAAAACATTTCTCTTTTGTTTAATTCCTTCCATTAAATCTTTTTAACCCATTCCATTTGTTCCACTTCATCTCATTAAATGAAAGGCATTAAGCACCGGAAATTAAAACTTAAAAAAAAAAACATATATTATCAAAAAACAAAAAAAAACTTTAAAAAACATATACATAATAATTGTTGACGAGAAAAAAAAAACTAAATCATATTAAATTTCAAGTTTATGGATATTTATGTGTAAGAATTATTTTAGGACGTATATTTTAACTATCAGATCAAACCTACCTGTATATAATTATTTTGTATACAAAATTCCTGCATTTAATAACATAATTATTTATGTCCTATCAAATAATTAAATGTAAAACCAGACATAACTAATGACATTATTAACTAATTTACCCACAAATACAGGAAAAAATGGTTGTCATTTTTTTTAGTAAGGATTGAGTTTTGGTGTATATTTGTTAATTTTTTTTATATTTTTCTCCTTCACATTATTTTTTCTCTTTCATACTAATTTTATAAAGAAAAAGGAATTTGAAAGACCAATAAATATATATATCAAAATACAGTCATTTCACTTGAAATGACACAGAGTTGTGTCATTTAAAATAATAAATAATTCATATATATATATATATATATATATTTATATATATTAAAATATAATAAAGATTTAATTGAAAATTTATAAATAATATTATAAAATAAGAAAGGGGACAAAGTGAGAATCATCTCAATTTTCTATGTTATAAAGAAATAACTTAATATGTATAAAATAAGTTATTTATCCTATTTATAACATTCGCGTATAAAAGTCATAGAATTATTTTTTGTGGCTAAAATATTATGGGTCCGAATCAGGGAAAGAATCTCTTTATACAAATATGCAATAATAATACTCTCTACAAGAATTATCATCACCCCATTTTTGTTAGTTGGGTTTAATGAGTAACGATTTATAAACTCACGTGTTAACAAAATTATAACATTAGAAAAAAGTTAAATTTATTTATTTTAGGGAAAAATGTTTCTGCAGTTAATGCAGATAAGTTATCTGCATTTATTCTCAAAACGACGTCATTTTGGTATTGAAATTTTAAAAAATTATAAATATAAAGACTATTATAACCCTGAAATAAATTAAAATTACAAAAACACCATGATTTTCGTCCTTAAACGACGTCGTATTAGCTTACTGCAGATAACTTATCTGCAATAATTGTAGAAAAAACGAACCCTTTATTTTATACTAAAAATATTTAACTACATTATTTTTAATATACCAATTATAAATTATTCAACAGTATAATAAGTTAATTTAAACATATGTTAGTAATTTGTTATTGAATAAAAAAATCATGTTATAAGCATTGAATCAAAGCAACTGGTATTTGAATGTGTTCAGGCTTTTATAAAGAAGCAACAAAACAATCAACTAATGAGTGGGTCGCTAAAGAATGGATCTAACCATCTCTCTTAATTGGGTTGAAGGATCTCTAGTCCAGTAGGATTCTGGATCAGATAGATTTTAGAAGCTACATCCCCTGATGCAAAGGAGAAGCCCAAATGTTTTGTTTATAAAGAAAATTAAAGAAAAGAAAGACACTCATACGACAAAATAAATTTCCTTTTTCAATTGGTTCATTTCTATTGAATCCCGTTATTTATTTTATTGTTTTTATTGTATCTAAAATCCCACTAAGTTCTTTAAAAAAATCCCACTATATACCACTGTTTTGGTTGAGAAGTTGAATTGATATGAGTAGCATCAAACATTTTTGGGCAGCTTTTGCTGAAGATTATGAACGATTTATAACTCTACGGATTCAGCAACTTTAAGAATTGCAGTAATATAATGGGAAAAGAAATGAAGAGGTATTTAAAATTATATAAAAAAAATTATCACATGCAATAGAATAGTCTTGTTAATGAAGCGTCATGGCACCAAATTAAATAACTTACCTATATATTAAAAAAATAACCACTAAGTGTGTGAATCATCTGGTAAATGGTTGTTTCACTTTAACTAGTAATTTCAAGTTTGGTTAGGTTAAAATTTGGTAGGAAGAGTTTTATCACTTATATGATTCTATCTAGACTGAATCGGACTAGTCAAATAGTCAATTAATTGATCGATATTATAAAATAAAAAAAATTGCGTGCATGGAGCAAACCTGGTGGCACTTTAGCATAAATGCACCTTTGTCTTATTGCCATTGTCCAAGCTCTTATGGAAATTATTTTTAGAAGATGTATAGAAAACAAAAATAATATTTTTCTGGTAAAAAAATTACAGCATTTTGTACTTGTCTTCATATTTAAGTAGAATTGATATCCATAATACAAGTGCATACCTGCTTCCTCTGTTTTCCTATAAGTCGATTCATGACTGTTGAAACTCTCCTTAGTGCACGAAGCCTCCTTGTTGATATGTAGAGATATAGCAGAACAGTTTCAGTTCATGAGTCAATGCAGCAGAAATATTGAAAAATAAAATAATATATATATATATATATATATATATATATATATATATATATATATATATATATATAAAAAAAAGTTTCAAACACAATTCTTATGATATCCAATAACAAAGTCAAAAAAAGAGAATTGGGATAATGCATTGTTTGTAATTGTATAGTGTTTATAGCCAAGGAACATGAACAGCATTAAAAAGGATAAAAAGGTTGAACAAAGAAATAAGAGAATTGATTAGACCAACTATGAAAAAATAAAAATAAAATACCTGGGGAACCGAAGGTTGAGACTTGAGAACAAGAAATTGAAGCTTTGTGTTTTGAGGTTACGGAAGTGGAAACTTATATAGTGGTTTTGTTAGAATGAATGAGCATTAAAAATCTGGGAGAGATTTACCATTTCCAAGACTGTTGCCTAGCAAATTGAAGCTTTATCATTTCCTAGGCTCGTTGGCTAGCTAACTGAAGCTTTATCATTTACTATGCTAGTTAGTTGGTTTCAATTAATAGATGTAATGAGGATTAATAAATGAGGTAGGATTCTTTGACATCGTTCTCAAATTTAAAATTTGACACCTCATCTGAGAGCCAAGATAAAAAAAAATTAACGACTCTGATTTGTAAGCATGTGACACCATTGATCTTTTTTGATCCAACAGCTCTCAGATGAGGTGTCAAATTTTTAATTTGATACTGATATCAAAGGATCCTACCTCTTAATAAATTATTATTCTTATAGAGAAGTGCAAAACATTAATCATAAATCAAGAAAGAGAGTGAGTGCCTATTTGGATCCTCTCTTTTTTAAGTTAGAAGCTACTTATAAGCATAAGTTAGGCCAAACAAGTTTTGACAAAAGTTCTTATAACGAAAAGCTCTTTTTTTTATAATGAAGAAAAAAGCTGAAAACTAAAAGCTCCTAGGAAGAGCTTTTTTTTAAGCTCTTATCTGTTTTTTTTTTAATTATGTGTTTTTTTTTTTAAATGAAGAGTGATAAAGATAGAGAGATAATTTTCTGGAAATATGTGCTTTTAAGTAATTTTTAAACTAAAACTTTTATGTAATTTTCAAACAGTTTTTAGCTTCTTTTTTTAAGCTCTTTTTTTAACTTTAGCTTATAAATAACTTCTAGCTTAAAAATAAGTGAATACAAACAGGCTCTGAATAAGAAATAAGGGAAATCAAGATAGATTTAGTATGCTTTCCACATTGAAATTTTTATTGAGTATTAATGATATGCAAACAAGCTTTAGGCATATAAATTTAATCTTTCTACGCAATTAAATTTATCTGTATCTTTTTTCTTTTAGAAAAATAAAAGAATGTAGAAACTTTTTTTTTAGAAGACCTTAAAATATGTGAGATATCTATTTTTTAGAAGACCTTAAAATATGTATGATATGCAAACAAGATTTTTCTTTTTTTAAAAAATCTCTCATGAAACTTCTTTCTAAATAACTTTTTATTTTTTACTTCAACCAAAATTAATCCGAAACAACAGTAAATTATCCGTTTTAAAATATAATCACTTTTACATAAATCTAATAACAATCTTCAAAATGCAAATATATATTCAAAAAGCGACAGTGATATCAAACTTACATACCAAATTTTTAGTGGCTCCACGCAACACCCTCCTGCGTAGGAAGAGGGAAATCTTAGAACATTTCAACAACATCCTCCTCCTCCTCCTAATGCAGATAATTTAATTTCGTGCAACATTACCACCACAACTTGGCGCAAAACGTTACACATGTTAGGCTCCTAAGCTACCCTACCTAATAACCTTCCATCAACCAAGAAAAATTCCTCATGACCAAATTCTCAATCTTAGAAAATCAACCAAATCCATATGTACGTACTCATCAACCCTCCTTAATAATCAACTTCAAAACCACAATTCTCTATTTCCATCACCCTTCCATTATCATCACCTTGCAAAGGAAACAAAAAAAAAAAATGTCCAAATTTGATCCATTCACTCACTTAGGTCTCACGTTGAACCCCGACGGGACCGTCACCCGTAGTCACAAATCACTGACGATCGATGCGAATCCCGAGCCTTCGTCGGGAAACACCACAGTCTGTAAAGACATCACCATCAACCAAGAGAAGGAAACATATGTTCGAATTTACAGGCCAACAAAGCTTCCTTCCAACGACAACATGGTGGCACGGCTCCCCATCTTGATCTACTTCCACCGCGGCGGTTGGATCCTCCTTAGCCCAGCGGACCCCAAAGCCCATGTGAAATGTGTGCAACTCGCCACCGAAATCCCCTCCATCATCGTCTCCGTTTCGTACCGTCGCGCACCGGAGTATCGGCTCCCGACACAATATCACGATGCGCGTGATGCAATCTTGTGGGTTAAGAAACAAATGGTTGATCCCAATGGAGAGCAATGGTTGAGAGATTATGGTGACCCTTCAAGGTGTTACCTCTATGGATGTGGAAGTGGTGGGAACATTGTGTTCAATGCTGCAATTCTTGTTGCTGACTTGGAATTGGAGCCGTTGAGGATTAGTGGGGTGATTATGAATCAACCTATGTTTGGTGGAGAGAAAAGGAGTAGCTCGGAGTTGAGGTTTGCCACGGATCAAACGTTGCCTTTGCCTGTGTTGGACATGATGTGGCAATTGGTTTTGCCTAGAGAGACAGATCGTGACCATAGATATTGTAATCCAATGGTGAATGGGCCACACTTGGAAAATGTGAAAAAATTGAAGAGGTGCCTTGTTATTGGGTATGGTGGGGACATTATGGTTGATCGGCAACAAGAGTTTGTGACCATGTTGGTTAAGTGTGGGGTGCAGGTGGAAGCTAGGTTTGATCCAGTGGGGTTCCATAATATTGATGTGGTGGACCCTGCTAGGGCTAGCGCGGTCTTGAACATTGCCAAGGAGTTTATTCTTTCTTGAGTTTTTTGTTTTAGTTTAATTGGAATTGATTAATTAAGTAACTCTTAATTTTGTGATATTGATTATCAATGTATGATTGGTGCAGAGTAGGACTGGTTATAGAAACCAGGGGATTCTGCAAAGTCCAAATAACGAGAGATATATAACTCAATGAAATTTAGTATATTTACTGTTTTGATGGTATATAATTATTAGAATCCTTCCTTTTCCTTTGTATTATATATGATAAATTAAAGGAAGTCAATTGTGCTCGAATCAGACTACGAGGATAATTAATAAAACGGTGGATATATAAAAAATTTGAGTGAGTCATTAAGAAGGTAAAGGCCCGGTGGAAATCATCTAATTTTTAAGGAGAAAGATTATTGTTACAACTTATTTTCATTTACAATCTCTCACAATTATATCTTAACTGTTTATTTTCGTCAATCAACGATTATTATTTTAACAAATCAAATTCGTTAATTAATTATTAATTCACAATAAATGATAACTGTTGATTGACAGACGGAAATCAACGATTAAGATATAGTTATAAAAGGTTGTAAATGAAAATAGGTTGTAAGCATAACATTCTTAAGTGTATGTACACAAAGATCAATTGCAAAGTTGTTCTTATGATGATGTTATGTTTTGGATATGACCAATTAATGTCAATTGCATGCTGTGGAATTTGCCGTCTGCGTTCTCTTCAAAATGTTTTGCATCTTCGTTGTTTGTATTCATTGTTAATTTGTTATAGTTAATTAATTACTTAAGGCTTACGAGAAGGTAGAGTTTTGCACCTTAACATACGTATCTGAACTGAAAAGTTGTATGTTATAATTTTAAGAAATGCTCATATTTTCTGCAAACTTAGATCGTCTCAAGTTCGTAGTTTCTACCTTAACTTACTGTTGGTTTCTTATAGGTAATGTTTGATTCAAGAGTTTTCCTCAGTTCCTAGCAAGGTGCAGAAGGCACTCTCAATTTCTCATCTTTGGTTTACTGATGTGATGAATTTTACCCATCAATGCCACTTGACTATCAATCCACAATTGCATGTAAAAATCAACAAAATCACTGTTCCAGAAAGCATCTTGGAAAGTGGTATTTGTGAGAAAACCGACTAAGTGATTCGAGTGGTACAAAAGGGTGACAACATTATCCTTGACACGAGAGCTGTTGGAACAATTGGTTGTAATAAAATAGGGTTATTTTTATAAGGATAATTTTGTAATTTCATTAAGTTTTCCTATCAATATTTTATTTTTAACCAAACACACATTTAGGAATTTCATTCAATTTTTCTGGTAAAATTTTGCCCAAACAAACAATTTTTTTAAAATTTTTATATCTAATTCACTTTCCCTTCAGATCCTTAATATTTACATTTTTCTAGTAAAAAAAAATTTCAGCTCAACTAAACACTCACATATTGTTATCTAATAACTAACAAATGTACTGGCAAAGCTAACACCTCTGTATTGACAATCACCCTACCATCTTATAACAAGAATGACACGTGTGCAATTCTAATGAAAGTGATAAGCATCACTTTAATCCAAAATTTTAAGGTATTGAGTGAGAGTTAATTATTTTATATCTTTAGTATCTCTTTAACACACACACCTTAGGTAAAAGTTCTTTGGATTTGAAGAGTGAATATAACATGCCCATTTTTTTGTTTACCTTGTGTTTTTCTTAATTTCACCTGAAAAGTGGAGGTATTTTTCTTAATTCTACCTTAAAGATGTGGGGCAGTGAAGATCAAACTCATAACATGCTAGTCACTCCAGCTCTGATATCATGATAAATGTTACTTCAACCCAAAAGCTTAAGTGTTGGGTGTAGATATATTAATTATTTTATATCTTTTGTATCTCTCTAACATAAAGCAACGTTAGTTCATTTTATTATGTTAGATTCAATTTATCTGAGTTGCAACTCTTGACTATGGTAGAGAAATTCAAACTCGAGATCAAATTAGTCGGATCTATTAGAGTTTTAGACTTCAATTCATATGTACCAATATATATATATATATATATATATATATATATATATATATATATATATATATGAGTTTAATATTTCTCATGTTATAAGAGATAAATTTATCTCCTACACACATTAAAGTATGTGGGGGCATGTAAGGCGTAGAGAGAAAGAGAAAAAAATATGAGCCCCGCACATTTTTATGTGTGTGTACTGTAGGAGATAAATTTTATCTCCTACAACATAAAAAATAATAAACTCACACACACATATATATATAGAGATTAATGTTTCTCGTGTTATAGAAAATAATTTTTTGGAAAATATGCTTCTTCTGTCGCTCCAGAAGAATTTTTTTTTTAAAGGTCAGGATCCGTATGCAGATCCTGTTAAATTTTCCTTTATGGGAGCAATATTAATTAATTAGTTTTCTGTTTTAAAATTAATCGGGTTAATGGATATTCTAATTGTATTATTTTGATATGCTCGTTGTGATCCTATTGAGTTGGGCTTTTGGCATCTGTTGGTATTGGGCCTAGTTGGGCAGCAGTGTAAGCTTTAGTGAAACCCTGATTTTCCGTGATGGGTGGACCCAGTGACACAAACTCTTTTTAGGATATTTGGCTAAGTCCTCTCTCTAGCCTATTTATATTGGAATTAAATCCCATGAGCCGTCATGCTCCCATCGTTGAGGCTGCCACTTTCGGAATAGGTAATAGAGAGGAAGATCCTGGCATGTATACCCTTTCCTTCGGCTTCGTGATGACCCAACAAGGTACTCACAATCCCAACCTGATTTCATATTGTTTGGTATTTTATAATCATATACATAATCCTGAAATTATAAATCTTATAGATCATGGTTTAAACATGTTTGCTACAAAATTACTCATTTACAGCAACAGTAGAAACAATGAACCCTAATTTTTTATGTGTGGGGTCAATGTTTTCTTTTTCTCTATGTTCTCTTCACATGGCCTCCACATACTTTTATATGTATGTAGAAAATAATTTTATCTCTTACAACATGACAAACATTAATCTCTATACATATATGAATAATTAACAAACAACAATCACATGTTAATAGACTCTCATTCTGAAGATTTTCCTGCAATAAAAACACAATGCTAGAAAACATTTATTTTTAACTATTAAAAGGTTAAAATATATTTTTGGCCCAGAATATTAAATGATAGCATAAAAGAGTTTATGTTGATAATGAATCAAAATTGAAACAAATCATGATATTCTGCATAATTAAATTACGACATGAATGTTTCCAAAAAATAATAGTTACGACATGAATTGTTTAAACTACAATGACTTTAAAAGTTGATATCCTCTAGATTGTCTTCCAATATTCTACGACGATCTAATTTTGGATCCATGACCGACAGACAAACTAAACTTAATTTTACCATTATTTAGCCTAATCTGCCTAACTTTTACCAAAATATGCTTAAATTTATTAAATTTAAAAGCAATTCTAGAATATAAACCTATAAATCTTCTAGAAAAAATAAAATATAAACATTGCCAACACAAAATGATATGTCAAACTCATAATTGATAATCAAACAAACTCTCATGATCAAATTAAACTGAAAGAGTAAAATCAGAAATTAACTTTGTAATTATATCTGAAAAAATATAATTACAATTGGAGTGAGTTGCAATGCAACTCAATGAGAAAATAATAAAATCTATAAGACGCACGAGGCGTGATAACAGACAAAATTAATATTTAATTCAAACAATAAATATGAAAAATCCTTAAATCTCAAATCAATTTATATGCATAATAGAAATTAATATTATATCAAAATATACTGCTAAAATCTAACAGAAAGTTAAAAAGTAATTAATAAAAATCAATTCATATAATCCAGAAATCTGCATATTACTAAAACAATATATACATTTAAGTGTGGGTAATATCAGACAAAGATGCAACATATCAATCCTAGACTCCTCATCTTTAAATATAATCTTAACAATATCAGGTTTCCCGTATGAAATAAATCAATAATAGGCAGCCAACCTATAAAAAAGTCACAGTGCACCAATGCTAACATATATCGTTGTTAGCATATAATGTTCTGACGAAGTCATCCCCCAAAATCAAATTAAAAAATGTAAAACATAATATATGAGTGATTAACCCTTTTACCCCTATTTTTTAAAAAAATATTACCATTATACCCCAATTTTTAAACTACTTAAAAATTTTAACCTTTTATCAAATCTATTGATAAACCTTTAGTTTATCATGTTTTTAGAACTAACATGAGATGATTTACATAGTCAAATGCATGGAAACTTGGGTTTTGTAGTGAAAAAGCATGAAAGTTGAATTTCGATCTAACATAATTCATTCCTGAACATTTTGAAGATGAATTGACATAAATTTGTGCAAGAATGAATAAAGGACCTAGAGAAGGAGATTGAGGATGAAAATAGTCCACAAAGTGCGCTGCAGAAGCATTATTGAAGACTGGATGAGTGTGCTTTAGTGCCCTACATAGCGCTAATGAAGCAAAAATAGCCAAATGTCATGGAAGAATGCGCTAACACGCGCTATCATGAAGAAATTTTTCTTCGAAGAGCGTGCTAAAGCTCACTCCAGGGCGCTTTAGCAAGTTCTGGTAGAGAGACATGAGGTTTTAGCATGCTAATCAGCGCTTTAGTGCGCTAACATGGTCCAAATTCAGGCCCAAACTTTAGAATTCACTTAGGGCATTGACTTTACACCTATAAAAGGGAAATTTCAACACCAACTATGGAGCTTTTGACAATTCCGACTTTGGAATCCTAACTTGGTCATAGAATCGCATCTTTTATGCTTTGGAGCATCGGGAGCAGGTTGAATTCAAGAACATGCTGGGAGTTTTGAGGATTCATCAAGCCATTATACCAATGCAATTTGGGGAATTTTCATTACTTTCTCTTGTTTTTGATTTTGCTATGCTAGGCTAGATTTGTATGTAGTTAGGCATAGATGGAACCCAATTGAATTCTTATGTTATTGAATTAAATTATCTCTGTAATTTTCCCTTTTTATAATTCCATGAATTTGTCTATGTTTAATGCTTTCTATGAGTTTGCTCCTTGTAGATTGATTTAGGGGAGTTGTATAACAATATTGAGAATCCTAGCAGAAAAATATATATGAAGAAATCAGAATTAAAAAAGGCGAATGGATGTCATAAGTAGAGCCTGAGACTGAGAAATTGAGAATGAAGAAAGAAAGCCGAGAATTTGAGAGAGGAAAGAGCGAGACAAAAGGAACTATGGTGTTTGGCAAAGCTACTTAAAATTTATTATTTAGCATATTAACTGACCGTGGTTAAAAATTCATGGTTAAAAGTCGTTTTTCTTGTAGTGAATAGAGATGTTGGTGCATGAACCTTGTTTGACAAATTCATCGTAATCCTTGTGATCTAGGAATTGACATAGGACAATTATGCAATTTTTAGATTCTTGAATTTGATGCATATTTTCTTGAGAAATAACTGGGGAACTAGGGTTCTTTCAAGATTACATAGAATTAGGGTAACAAGGGATTGAGCCTTAATTAATTTAAAGGAATTGATTGGTATTATATTAAGGGTGGTTACTTAACTGTTTAATTCATAGCATAAGGATGAAATTGGGGGAAATCGAAACCCTAGTACGCTTTTCTTGATTGTCAAAAAAATTCTTTTAATTGCTTTTTTTTTTTTTTTTTTGATAACATTAATTGCTTGTTTTAAATTTTGAATTCTTATGCTTTTGATCAATTTTAGTTTTAAATTCAAAGTTTCTTATAGTTGTTTGTCCAAATAAAGCGCAAATAGTGAACTAGTGCTTGAACTTTAATCCTCGTGAGAACGATCTCGTACTCAAGTACACTTTTATTACTTTTATGACCGGTACACTTGCCGAAGTCGCAATAATTATATACCAATATACCCCTGTTTAACCATATTGATCGTCATTTACTTGAATAACCGGGTCAGTTACTCGAGTAAATAAGGGCAGTAAGCAACTGAGCAATTGAAATTTGAATCCACAAATAGTTTTTATTCAAACCAAATTCTAATATCTTGTACATATATTAATGGACTTGGGATAAGTTTTTGCAGGTTCAAAACAATTGAGAGTAGTCTTTATTCAATTCTTTAAACCCTAAAATGATGTAAACTTCGAAAGAGCATAACTTTTAGCTCGGTTGTCCGAATAAGAGTTCTTTGTTTTTGCGTAACTTTTTGAGATCTAAGCAATGACAAATCCCTGTTGGTCAAATTTTTTTCCAAAAACAATGCTTGCTTGATGGGTTTTTGGAATGACAAGGTAAATGGACACAAATCTTTAAAAGCAATGTCACATGAACATAAATATGTATATTAAATTTAGTTTAGTAAATTTAGTTTAGGATATAGAGAGCTTGTATGGAGATTATCCATAATTGTTTTAAACCCTCGAAAGCATATATGAAGTCTAAATACGTGTGTGTGTGCGTGCGCGCGCGCATGATATAGTAATGAGACACCTTGAATTGAATGGGGACTTTCCTCAATTGTAAAAGACCCACAAACACTCATCACAAGTCCATTTATACATGTACAAGACATTAGAACTTGGTTTGAATAAAAAATATTCGTGAATCCAAATTTCTGTTGCTCACTACCGTATTTACTTTAGTAACTAGCCTTTGTTACTCGAGTAAGTCATTTACTTAGTAATTGCCTAGTTACTCGAGTAAATGGCGGTCAACAAGGTCGAATAAGGGTAGATTAGAGTATAGTTTTCATAAAAGGTTAAAAAATTTAAATAGTTTAAAAACAGGGGCAAAGGAGGAATAGTTTTTAAAATTAGGGACAAAAGGGGAAAAGTAGTAATATTTAAGCTCGTGTAATAGCTTAAATATCGAGACTATACCTATTTCCACGATAGCATGAATGCAATAACTTTGAGCTCAGTTTAAGGTATTTTATCTCCAGAATTAAGCTTGGACCTCTTCACCAAAGTTGTATATATGCTTCTTAGCTTTTTAAAATACTAAAGAATGTTCAAATCTATGGTGTGTAGCACAAGATATGGGTGAAAATGTAAACTATGTTCTATTGTGATGAATGACTAGCGTGTGGATCATGGTAAATTGTTGAGGTGTTCAACCATGACGGTGCTCTCAACTCTAGACACCTTAATAACATTATTGTTTATATGAGTTAAGTAGCTTGAGCCGGTAGTTTGAGCATGAAGGATGAAAGGAAGAGGATGAATAGATATAACGAAAGGTAGAGCTTGTTGGTGTCCTATTGGTGCATAGGGCATTCACAATTTGATTTTATGAATATGAAGTCTGGGCAACAAATGTAACTGCGAGATCTATAAATTAACGGAGGTTAAAGAATTTAGAAGGGTATAAGGGTGTGTTTGCTACAGGAGAAATTTTTTGGTGACCGGGAATCATGATTAATGGGAATTCAGTAGAAATTGAGTTTACTTGGAATCTTACGAAAGAGGTGTTTGGTTCGCCAAAATATTACCGAGAATATTGGGTAAAAATTACTGATTTCATATTTGGTTTAGAACGAAATATGACTTGGAATATGATGTTATTTTACAAAAATAACCCCAAACTATTTTTACTTTTGTAATTGATAGATTGGGTCTAAATTTTTATGTGTATTGGGGTATTTTTGTCTCAAAATTTATTGTTGTACTTTCCCTTTTGCTTGGTATTCTGATTGGTATTCTGAATTACCATATTATTTTTGGTAATCTGAATAGTGACTTTTCTTTATAAATCAAATTACCGGTAAGGTAATCCTTGGATATCCGGAAATCGTAATTTATTCCTTCTACCAAACGTGGTAATTACATTTACCAAAGAAGGATTACCGGTAATCCTCTTCAAAAACTTCAAACAAACACCCCCTAAGAGTATCGGCATTGAAAAATATAGAGATGAAGTAGAATATTTCTATTCTAATATGATACATATAATTGAATGCTTTTGATTTCATTTATTTTGTTGGAACGTGTAGCTCATGGTTTTTCTTCTAGACAAGGAGTTTCATATTTTCTCGCACTTTAAAAAAGAAAACTTCTCCATTAGCAATATTGATTGATCAATTAGATTTATGTTATGGATATTTTATAGGGATGGACAAAATAAATCCTAATTAAGCTATTATGATTGGTCTAGTGACGAGAGATTTAAACAATTTGCATAAGATTTAAAACTCGGTGTCATCATTGTATACACAAAATAAAACTATAAACCTTAGTTAAATAATTGGGACTATAATTCTATTGACACAATTAACACCTTCACATAGCATGCTTTGTCTCTTTCTTTTCTTTTGTTTTTCCTTCACATGACATGCTTGTTTATTTTTTATCCATCAATTTATTAATTACGTTCAATGTTGCTTTTATTATGATCTTTAATCCTAAATGTATTTTTTGTTAAATGAGAACGTGTCAAACTCGGTATAATATTGGAAAAGGATTAATATAAGGTACAAGTCAACAAAATAATTTTAAATATAGTGAACAAATATAATAAAATGAACGTAGACTTATAAATATAGACTAAAAGCTTAGTTAAATCTCAACATATAGAGAGAATTTTCAGCCTAAAAGAAAGAAAGTAGATCGGATCCTAAGCAAGGCAATCACCCTATTGTCATGTAGAATTTGTCAAACGTTGTATTACGAAATTTACATAGTTAGATAGACTTTCAATATCAATAAATTATATGAACACTGCTAATTCCTCTCATCAAATCACCATGCGGGCATTGCGAATAAAAAAAGACCTCTTCTAGGAGTTGACAGTTGACACACAAAACAAATCAGAACCTCTAAAACTAAGCAATATATATCTTTGCAATTTTCCCCACATTCCCACTCAATAACACATGCTTCTGTAATTAACAATTAAGCAGTTTACCAGATTTTGTTGTCAAATCTCAATTGAAGAAACCACCTCACAGTATGTATGTGCACAAGGTTAATTATTATTATTATTATTTTGGGAAAACTTAATTCAGAGTTCGAGCGGGTTTCGGATTAGGAAGACTTTAAACACCTTCCAAAATGGTATCGGGGAGGATCGAAGACATTCTCTCACACTTACCTATTCAGCTGTTATGCACCAATTAAACTATCATTATCAATTTATTGGAATCTATAATAAAAAATATTCAGAATTCATAAATTCAAATGATAAGCTAATACAACCCAAAGAGAAATACACATCCACAAATCAGAAAACAACAATTAAATGTTCAAAAAATATATGGAAATTTGTCCCTTCTGTTTGCAATTAATAACATTGCAATATCAAAAAATTTATTTTCTTATTTAAGCAAAATTTTAAAAAAAAGTAGCCTCACCCAGAGAGTCACATAGCGGCGGAGTGTACAAATTTCTTGACGTTCTCACCCAACGTGAGTGCCTTTCCTTTGTCAAAGAGCTCCACAGCATGAAATCCATCATCAACGAAATGTGTCTCCACGTGCACCCCACGTGCCTCCAAAATCTTACCCAACTCCTTCTGCTTGTCGGACAATGGATCTCCACCGTAGCCGTTGATGAAACACTTCGGCAGCCGTCCGATCTTCGCTCCGTGGACCCCTTCAGACACCTTCGGATTGCAATACTCGTGATCGCGATCCGCCCCCTCCGGCAAACACAACGACCACATGAGATCGTTCGCCGGCAACGGTAATATATGATCGTTGACCAGACGGAGCTCCGATTTTGACCTCTCGGCCCCACCGAAATAGGGAATGTTCATCATTATCCCTATGATCTTCATCGGAGAGAGATCCAGGTCGAGCGAACGTAGACCCGCGAAGTAGACGATATTTCCTCCCGCGCTGCTTCCCATTAAGAAGCACTTTGAGAAGTCAGCGTGGTCCCTCATCCACGGGTCGGATCGGGTCGGGTCAAGGGCCTGGTTTCGGACCCAGTTGATTGCGTCCATGGCGTCGTCGTACGCCGCCGGGAGACGATGCTCCGGCGAGAGGCGGTAGTCGACGGAGACGATGATGGCGGGGATGTTCGAGGCGAGGGCGTTGCAGGATTCGTGGAAGATGAGGGAGGAAGGGTGGTAGAGGATGAAGCCGCCGCCGTGGAAGTAGATCACGACGGGGAGCTTGGTGGCGGAGGAAGGCGGAGGGTGGGGGAGGAAGAGGCGGATGGAGGTTTTGGTTTCGGCGTTGAGGGGAATGTCCTTGGAGAGAGCGAGTTGCGGCGGCGAGTTGGGATCTCCGGCGGCGGCGGCAGCGGGGGATGGTGGCACGGTGGGGACGATGTAGTTTCGGGTGAGGGAACCGTCTGGGTTGAGTTTGATTTTGAGGAATTCGTAAGGGTCTATGGTGGAGGTTTCGGTGGAAGGGGGTTGTGCCGCCATTGTTGTTAAAAGAGAGGTTTGAATCTGAAAAAGAGAGAAAGAGATTGAAAGTGAAATCGTGAGTGAAAAGAGGTACTGAATGTGATGTGATGTAATGTAACTGTTATTTTATTGTGGTCACGAATAGGTTTCATGGTTACGCTAACATTTAGCCATGCATATTTGCATGCATTTTTTTTGGCCACAAAAAACTTGTGGTGATTACTAAGGTTCTTAATATTAATTTAATAACTATTAAATTATTATTTATATAAAATGGGAAATATTATAAAGAAATTAGCTTAATCAGTGTATGATGATGAGTCCAATTTTGATATTAACAATAGATTATACTTAAAGTATGCGTACGTACTGTATTTTTTTGGGATCATGATCCTTAATTAAGATTTTTAGCTATATTATAAATTACTTATATATATATATATATATATATATATATATATATATATAATGTGATAGCAAGAATTGAATTTAAGTTTTTTATGGTAAATACTTCGAGTGAAATTAATTCTTACTTGAATGTGAGCTTAATTAACCCTGATATAAAGTGTTTTTGATTCGTTTTAAACTCATGTCTTAAAGATAAAGGTGATTGACATTTAACTTAATCTGTTGAGATTTTGACAAAAATTGTTGTATTTAGATTTTGGAATGGTTGGTTGATATTCATTATGAGAAAATTTTGAATCGTCGTAATTCAAAAAAGAAAAGAAAAGAAACTCGAAGCTTCCACATCAAACGGCATCAATTTTGTAGTTAGATGTTATTGCCATATACTACAACGTCATAAACGCTGCATATAAAGATCCCAATGTGTTGTTATCAAAAAAAAAAAAAAAAGATCCCAATGTGTTGTTGAATGAATCAAAGGGGTGATTTCGTCTTATAAGCATAAATAAATAAATAAAAGAGGGAATTCTCGAACAAATAGTGTAAACCAACTTGTGCTAAGGGCTCGTTTGGATGATTTTTTTTCTTCAAAAGATATTTTTTTTATTGAAAAAAAACATGTTTTATGTTTAATTCGTTTCGATGTCTACTTTTAAAAAAAAAACAGAAATCACAAAAAAAAGCCAAAAATTTACTTTTATCAGAAGTTAAAAATTTTAATTTCTAAAAAAAACAGAAGTTAAAAGCCAAATATTTTTTTCAAAAACTAAATATTTTTATAAAAATATAAATAGCTTTAATTTTTGTAAAAAATACTTCTAAAATAAGGAAGAAATAAAAATTACTTTTTTGATAAGGCGAAACAAACGGCCTCTAAGTCTAGGGAAAGAAATTTGGGTATCATGTGATTTTTAATTTTTTTTTAATTTTTAATTTTGAGAGGTTGGAAGCAGTCCTTGCCAGTTTCGAGTTTATGAATAAAATGTAATATTTTTATAATTATCAGTAAAAACAAAAAATAAAAAACACAATAGTTTCTTAAACCAAACAGAATTTGTGTGTCACTAGGTGAGGGTTTGAGAGAGAGAAAAAAGGGATGAGAGAGCTGGTCATAAGCAATATCTTTAGCCTAATGTCAAGTAGAATTTTAAAGAATTTTGCTAAATTTTGATAATAATGTTGATTATAATCTTCGTACCGGCTCAAGTTTTTAAATTAAAAATTTAAGTATAATATTGATGAGAAATATATTTTTCATAATGCGTGAGACAATTTTTGTCTACATATACAAAAAATGAGTGAGATCCTTTTTTCTTTTTCTCTATTCTTCTCTTTTTAATGAGTTTCATTCACTTCTTTACGTGTTTGTCTCATACAATATTCATTCCCCAATGTTCATTTAAAAAATTTGATCACCGAGCAAACTAGCCTTTTCCTTCCCAAATCAAATGCTTGCATCTCCACTTTCATGAGTATGGACCTTAGAAAATGCATATACAGGATTAATGGGCCTTAGAAATTATTTGGACAAGGGATTGAGTACAAATGGAAGAATGTTTTTTAGGCTTGGGTATACCCAGCCTGTTAGAACCCCTGACTAGAATACTCAATTTCTACCTATGATTCAGGTACTTGGAAGTTGCCTATGTTCTTAAATCTTTCTTAACTTCAATAATTTTCTTTAACTTGGAAGATGACATGTGGTGAAAATTTTGGGCTTCCATCAAAATTGTCATCAATTATTTCCAAACATTCATCGTATACCAGGCTTTGCTTCTTTGCACAACATTCATCGTATCTTGGACTCCATATGAAATTTGTATTTCTGTATCTTATCTTTCCAACGTCATTAAATCACTCATTAGCAACCTCTGTAGCTTAAGAAGTGCTTGTTTTATTGCAGCAAAGGTCAGAAAATGCGCAAATTTACTATTGATTTATAATTAAACTTTTTTCAAATTTCTCATTGATATTCTATGAATGGAGTACATAAAAATGCAAATTGAGTTGGATACTAAATCACTAGCCAGCCTCTGTTTAGCCTCGTCCTGTGGACCCTCACCAAAGCACAAAACGTTCACGATCTTTTTGTTCAATGTCCAACTACATCTTCACGAGCATAAACCCAATACTTCAAACACGAATCAGATAAAACTAATCAAAACGAGTTAGCCTGGCCATATGGGTTTAGGCTGATGAAAATCAATGTCACAATTTTTTATTTTTTATTTAAAAACAAAACCTTATAAACACAAGTATTCCTTTCTTTCTTTCTTTTTTTGAATATATCACCAGTTCATTTATTACCGTTTCGATCATTGTTAGACCACTCTCCCAAAATCATTTTCTTTGTTCCCTTTAGTTAAGGAAACATGCTCTTTAAACACAAATATTTCTTACTACGAATAAACTCCGATTGAAAGTTCATTGATAGCCATCATGGTTTGATACATGATCCATCAAATTTCAAATCCTAGCGCATTTATGAATGTGCAGTGCAACCACTAATACATCACCTGCACATGGACCACTTCCGTATCTATTTATTTCACACACCAACCAAACGCCAAACTGTATAATGCAAATTTAAACTTCTCAAAGTATCTCTCCATATATATATACAAGTATTTCATATCGTGATGCCACCAAGGCACCAACCACTGTAGATATAGATTTGACGCAAAAGATAAAGAACAACCAACTCATCACACATTTCACTAGATTAAAAAAAAAAAAAAAAACTCACACTTACACCGTCATGGCAATTATCACCCCTCATCCAAGTCCTTTCGTTTTCGTTACCTTCTATTTTTTACTACTCCTGAGTCCTGGTTCTTGCACTACGAGGCTACATTACTATTGTTTTTCGTTCCTCATAACCAATTAAACTGGACTAGAGTGCAACACCACTAATGAATTCCAATACTGGTCCAGAGCCATCTCGATACCCTACTCTTTTTGTTTGAAAATATTCCAATCGGTTCATTGCTTCGCAACTAATTGGATTCGGGGCGGGTCAAGAATTAAGGCTTTAAACCCCTCCCAAAAGTGGTATTGGAAAGATTCGAACACATGCTCTCACCCCCACCTGCTTAATTCCCATGCGCCAACTGAATTACCATCATTTGGTCGATACCTTACTCTTAGAACAGAATGTTATAGAAGCTTAATTCGTTTAGTAGACAGAACACACCTACTTTCAATTTCTAGAAGTACTTAAACGTATGATTCAAGGTTGTAGAAAGTTAAGCATGTCAACGAGAGAGATGGCTGAAAGAACATGAACATGGGATTTTCTAAGGTCCTCAGTTCTGAGATAACTAGGCATTAGTATTACACTATTACCCCTCAGATGGGTTGCTAACACCTCCCTCGCCATGATTACAAATGTACTGTTACTGCCTAGGATTCGCATTGGCTCTCTACATGGCAAAAGTACATTGGCTCCTCAAAACGGGCAACCGAAGATGAACGAAAAGTCAGAATTTATTATGTCTTTACCTGTCACTACTCCCACCATTTTCATTCCGTATTATATCAATGAATGCTCTCGCTTTGTTAACATGGTTTTGTTGAAAAAGCAAAGTACAAGCGAAATTCCAGGATTGAAATCAGACTGATAACTAAACGGACATTAATCATCATGTAACAATAAGAATGGATATTTACAATGTCCAACAACATCAGTCAGAAATTCAAGAAGGCTGCACGGGTAACAGATTGTTATGAGGTCAATGATTTCAAGTCTTAAACATGAATAATTAGAAGCATAAACAAGATTGCATCTTTCACTCCAACTTACCTTTAAAATAACATTAAATTTAGAGACAGTATTCCCGATTTTATTTTATTTTTTATTTTTTTTGCAGGGGATGAGGTCGTTTATAACGCCATTCCTGCTTTTGTTTTCATTTGTTCAAAGGAAGATATATTCCACAAATAAATGCCTCAGCAAGACGAGAAATTAAAAAATTGAAAAGTGAGACCGATTCTTCAACTGATAAAACTAAGCTAAAAGAATGCTAATAACACACTTTCCTTTAACAGAAAAATATTTCTTCACTGCACATAAATTATCTACATTTATTTTCAAAATGATGTAATTTTGAGATTGAAATATTAAAAAATTATAATTATCAATACTATAATAACTCTGAAATAAATTAAAATTACAAAAATACCATAATTTTCGCCTCAAAATGACATCGTATTGGACTTACAATTACAGCAGATAACTTATCAATAACTGTAAAAAAAGTGAACACTTCCTTTTAAACATACAATTATTAGGGAAAATCCATGCTAATCCTAACCTAAGCTCACTATTTAAATGATAGAGAATATTAAAAAAAAAAATAATAAATAAAAGATTGCTAGCATTTCTGTTAAACAAACTGAGATATTACCAATCACAGAGACAGCCACTCTTTCCATATTATGGCGAGTGCACAAATAAATTTAATTTCGGTAGGAAACCCAACCTACCCCAATTTTTTCTAATTACAGTACAGCAATAAATTATTGGAATTTGAAAGTCTCCTGCCTTACTCTGAGTCCTTAAATCACAAGTCACCAAATGTATGAGAGAGAGAGAGAGAGAGAGAGAGAGAGAGAGAGCAGCCAATTCAGAAATAGAATTACCACATCCAAACCTTCCCCAAACTTTAGACAACAAGTAGATCTGTAATGTAGGATAAAGGAAACGGGAAGAAAATGCTATGGACGTACTGAAATTGACATTAAAAAAGAAAATGGCAATTGCGTGCTTCTAATAAAGAGCCAGCTATTCTTAATTTATCATTTGATTTGGTTTTTCATGGATAATTAGCAAATAGCCTTTGTATAAAAGTTGTGTTTCTATATTTGTTTCAAGGGGTTAAAGTTTATGAGTGAAAGGCTCTTCGTAGGTCCGAGCACTGATGATAAAATGATGTTATCCCTCTCTCATTTCCAGGGACAGTGGAGTCTCCACTTAGTTCACAGTAACATCATAATTACTTGTAAAGGACAAAAAAGGGGCCAGGCCAAGATATGTTGTTCCCTTCAACTGAAACTCATACTACTAAGTACTAACAATGGCACAATGTGAATATAACTTTAAAAAGTTAGAACCAAAAAAAAAAAAAGATAGATAGATAAATCTTCCTTGGGTACTTTGCAGCCTACTAAGGTCGTGAAAATCTTATTCTCACAGTTACATCAGAAGGCACTAACCAAATATATTCGTCGAAAGAGGGGCTAAATAGCTTCAAAAGTAAAAGAAATGTTCCCTCAACTTTAAAAGACCCGGAATTTCCTGAAATTCAACAACTTGTGGTGGCAAAGACACGTAATTCGTGCTGGAATCATGCACTCAAAAAGTTCTTTCAGATTAAAAAGTAAGAACCAGGTCAGAATAAACAGTCCTATGAAGGGGAAACTAAAAAAAGCACAAAAAGGGAAGAAATGGATTTATGCAAGGCTTGTAACTCAATATTTTTTTTACTTTTTTTTCCTGCATTAGTTTCTACAAATGGTGAAGAAAATTAGAATCGACCTACAACAATACACTCTCAGATGTTAATGATAATGACAAGAAGAACCAATCACTCAGGAAAACTCACCGAGCCTTCTTTCGGGACTTGAACAGGAAATTAGAGGGCGGTGATGGTGAGAACTCAAAGGGCAAGTGCGGTAGCTCAGCTTCACCAGAAAGCATGCCCACAATCTCTTTCATGGAAGGCCTCTTCCCTGGCGATCTCTGCAAACACAACAAGGCAATGGTGATGCAGAGCAGTGCTTGCTCCTTATCCAATGAATGAATAGAAGGGTCAACAAGATCCAAAAGCCTCCCATTGTGAGCAAGTTGACGAGCCCAGGAAATGAGATTGGCCCTCTCAAATTCAGAAATTGGCGAGGCTGTTACTTGAAGGGGTCTTCTACCAGCAACCAAAACCAAAAGCAGAACCCCAAAACTATACACATCACACTTCTCAGATAGCTGGCCACCACCACCATACTCAGGAGCAATGTAACACACAGTTCCTCTCATACTTGGGGTGCTGCTGATTCCACCACTCTTGGGTATATCCCTATCTCCATTAACCCAATCCTGGCTATTCCTCCTTCCATTCCCATTCCTAATCTCACCACTCAAACCATCCAACCACCAATCAATGCTCCCTCTGCTACTCTTACTCTTCCTCTTCTTCTTCTGCTCCCGCACAATCTCATCTTTCTGCCACCAAGATTCCCCACCACAATCAAGGCTCCTCTTTTTCTTCTTACTCTTCTTTGAAAGCTCCTCACAGAACTCCTCCTTCCACCACTCCCTCGGCTTCCGATTCTTCTTAACCTTAACCTTAACCTTGTCTTCATCAAGAGAAGCCCACCAATCCAACCTCTTCCTCTGCTTCTTCTTGGGCTCAACCTCCACCTTAGGTGGTGTCCCACCTTCAACCCCAACCCCAACTCCACTATTCCTTGCAGAGCCAGGGGAAGAAGAAGATTCAACCCATTCACTCTTGGGTCTCTCCTTCTTTATCTCACTCCCAATCCACTCCATCACATAATCCTTCACCCTCCCAGATTCAGACCCTCCACCACTCTCTTGCTTCCACCACCAATCCCTCCCAGAACCACCACCACCCTTCTTCCTATGATTCCCACTATCAATACTCAACTTATCAAAACACCCATCAGACACAACACTCAATTTATCAACCCCAACCATCTCCGGCGGCGACGTCACCGCCCCAACCCCAATCTCCGGCGAAGCATCCGAATCCAAAACCCTCACCGTACAACTCTCCGGCGACAAACCAGCAGTAGTACCATTCGTCACAACACTCTCCACCTCCTCCAAAACCGAACCCCGATCTTCAATCCCACAATCCTCAACCTCCATCTCCTCCTCATCTTTCTTCTTCTCCTCCACCATTCCCATTCCACAATCCTCTACAACAGTCTTCACCCTCGCAAGACCAAAATCCCCAATCTTCGCCTTGAAATCCCGATCCAGCAAAACATTACTCGGCTTTATGTCACCGTGAATCACCGGCGGGTCACACTGGTGATGAAGATACTCAAGCCCCTTCGAAACCGAAACGGCGACGTCGAAGCGTTTTCCCCATTGCATCAACTCAGGGCACCTCCGGTCCAAAAGCGCGTCCTGGAGACTCCGGTTCGGCATGAGCTCGTAAACCAGAACCAGCTTTCGACCGGTCCGGTCCGATGAAAACCCCAATAGCGAGAGTATAAAAGGTGAACGCATGTTCGAACAGAGTGAAAGCTCGTTGTGAAACTCTCTCTCTCCTTGAAGCGAGCCCGGTGAGTCCATAACCTTAAGTGCCACGCTCTCTCCGGATTGTAGTGTCGCCTTGTGAACCGAACCGAACCCTCCGTGACCTAGCTTCGTCGACGGGGAGAACGAGTTCGTGGCGCGGCGGAGCTCGGTGTAGGAGAATCGCCGGTGGTTGAGCTCGAAGGGTGCGGTGCGGTTGTACGAGAGCTTCCGGTAGAGGAAGATCGTTAGCGAGATTATCAAGGCAAGGAGGATAAGCGCCGCTGCGATGACTCCGGCGAGGATTATTTGGTGGTGGTGGTTGTGGTGGCGGTGAGCGGCGGAGAGAGGCGATAGCGGCGGACGAGATGGCATTTTTGTAATAATGAGATTGAAATGTTAACCATTCAGAGAGAGAGAGAGAGAGAGAGTAGAGAGTGTATTGACTAGCAGTGAGCAGTAATAATATCCTACTTGTTTTTTATTTAGCCAACCAATATTCTAATAGATAAATAAATAATTGATGCGATGCTTTTAATAAAATAAAATAACATTATCTGAAGATTCTCTTTACTTTTCATTTCGTAGGGTAATTATTGACTAATAGCAACCTATTTATTGATACAGGTTTTGATGTTTTTTCTTTTTATTTCTTGGATTAGTTTGACTTTTTAAAAGTTTGACATAATTTGACAACTTATGTTAAGACATATTTTTCTAAATTCTAACAAGGCTTTTGAATAAATCAACATATCTGAATAGTCCAAACTCTGTGAAAGTGCAATAAATGGTAAATGTGAGTTCTATATAACTTTTTTTTCTTTTAAATTCATTTTTCTTCTCGGATTACAAGTTAGTTATGATCTAAAAGTAAATAAACGTAGTAAAAATAGCAATGTTATAAAATCGGTTGAATTAAATATATATTTTAAAATATAATAAATACAAATTAGAATAATTATAGCTTAATACATATAATTGGTTTAGTAATGAATGTTATTAAGTTATAATTCACATGGTCTATATTTAAATTTCATTTGGTGGTATTTTTCAAGCATTATGTCCCAAAATCTACAAAAAAAAAAATTAAAAAAAATCAATGCCGATTTAATATTGATTGACCCTGGTTCAAGACCAATTCATCGATTTTATACCAAATCAAATATATAACTGGTTCAATACAAGAACCGAATCGGCTGAAGGTCCAATTTATGAGTCAACCAATCGGACAGGTTGAGAATATTGGAAAATAGGTTACATCAAAAAAGATATAATGATCAAAATTTAAATATGAAAGTTAAATTTATGAGAAATTCTAAATAATTCAATATAATTAAAATTAGTAATGTAATTACGTTAATAAAACATAGTAGTGAAAAAATATAAAATAAATGGGAAAAAATATTTCTTAATAAATTACAAATATTCTCTATAAAAGGTAATGTTGTTCGAGGCAAGAGTATTTACATAATTTTCTACATTCATAAAAACTTCAACATAAAGTCTTGTTTAAACGAACTCCCAAGGGTAGTTCAGTTGGCATCTGAGCTCCCAAGGGATTGCTTGGTGCAGGGATTAAACCCTGCTTCAAATAGTTTCTTAGAAAATCTTTGGGGGCCAGAGGATAAATCAAAAAATCTTCAGTTGGGGGATTAGTCTCGTCCTTTCTCCGATTGCGAAGCTTAGTGCACCCACTGTTACAATGAGGGGCTAGCCCAAACTAGCCGTACCCCGAGGGTATGATGCCCGGAGAAGGTTGAATGGAGATACCTCCTGGCAATGTACCAAAAAAAAAAAAAACAGTCTTGTTTAAACGAAATTAAATGTGTTACTTAAACCAATTCTTTTTGAAAAAAAAAAAAAATAGTGTTGAATTGCAAGTACCCGTGAGTGGGGAGTGTTCATTTTGATGATTGAAGCAAAGTCAACAAGAAAAACCCATTGAAGAGCGAGTAAATCTCGTTGGGTGTGTAAAACACGCGCGAGGGAAGTGCTCGTGGCGAGTCTCCCCTAATATCACGTGCCTCAAGCATTGAACGTTTCACTGCCACTGCCATTTGCCACGTTAGTGAACCCCACTTCGTGTGTAAGTAAGATGGGAAGGGAATAAAATATTCATTAACAAAATCCCATTGTTCACTAATCAGTTTAACTCAGTACCTTTTTTTATGGCTGTTGAGTAAAATTGTTTTTGAAACCTCAGAATCAATTCTTAACGTCTTTGATTCTACTAGACAAATTTTTTTTTTTGTGAAAAAAATAAAGGTCCAATCAAATTTGGTTTGAAGAAAAATGAGATTTTCTTGTTTCTACGAGGAATTAGTATAGTGTTCAAAACGCAATCCTTAAAAGCTGAAAGCAATGCGCATAGTTGAGTCTCAAGGACTCAGTTTCAGGTCAGATAAAGGGTTGACATTTAAGCATGCTGTTCATATACCACTACTTTTCTATATCTTTTAACTTTCCCTCGGGGTAAAAGTAAATATTAAGTTATCTAATATCTATATATATTTATAGATAAATTTAATAATATAACAAATAATAATATTTTTATGTAAGTAGAGTAACAAAGAATTGTGTTGACCATAAAGTTCACTGGTAACAACCCAAATATGATGTCCGCTTTATAATTGTTACATCACCATTGACCTGACCAAATTCTGAAATAAAAAAGGTAAGTTCATTCAACATAAAAGTGAGCCCACAGTTTTATACTTGTAATGCAAGTTATCTAATCTTACTTTCCATTGAAGTTACCCATGTTACTTTATATGTTGATACCTTTTGTTTATGAGCATTGAAATGCATGATGGCTTGATATGACAAATTAGTCTTGCTTAGGTGCTCTCATAATAGCATTGCATTTTCCCTTTGAGTAATGTTATCACAAATGAAGTTATTTACAAATTCACAAACTGTCACACTTGGCAGCCATCACGTGGCAATAAAAAACTTCCGTGTGAGTCTATGAGGAAAAAATCTAGCATATTACTGATGTATGTACACCAAATTAATCAGAACGCGTCATGTCATATGCTTGTGTATTGGAGAGAAAAAAAAAATTATTTTTATATTTACATTATGGATTTTATAAGAGTTATATTGTAGGAAAAATGATTTTGTAATGTTATATAAATTCGTTTTGCGTGCCGTAATTTTTTCTTTTTCTTTTTTCTTCAAAAAGTGTGGGCCCCACAAAATATTGTGTGTAGGAAAGTTTGTTGTGTCATATTAAATGACAAATGCAAATCCCTTACACTATATATTACTGAAAGTATATAATATAAATACCAATTTCACACCCACTGATTGGTACTATCAGTGTTGTTAAACCCGATCCGGGCATTGATCCTGTGAAATACTGGGTCACTGATCGGACCGGTTGACCCGAATATATATAGATATATAAAAATATATATAAATATGAATATATAAATTTAATTATATTTCCTATATCTAAAATGAATTAAACAAGATTCACTAAATAAGCTCAAAAACATGAAGCATAAATAAATAAAAATACATGCTATTACTCTATCAATTTAAATTGCAACTCAGAATCCCCATAAACATGCCTCTCAATGACATTGAACTCATATTTTTCAAATTCAACCACATTAAAATGACATATTTCACATTCTCTAATTTATTATTCCACAAATTGCTTCGGTATTGGAAACTAAGAGGTCATTGTAGAAGAGTATACAACCAAATAAAATTACAAAAAGTTTTTAAAATGAATTTTACATTTTTTTATAAGATGAAACAACTTTGATTTTTTTTTTAGAAAATGCATAACCCGATCGGGTCACCAGTTTTGTCCGGGTTTGACCGGATCGATGCATGACCGATTCAATGCTTGACCCGAACCAGTTTGATGACCGGTTCACCGAGTCCCGGGTCGATCCAGTCGGGTCTGACCGAGTTTTACAACAGTGGGTACTACGGTAATACCCAAGATGCTCTTGTCTATGAGATACTTTCCTCTATGAAAATATCATTATCAATTTATCATTATCCCTTTTCCAGAATAATGTTTTGGCTTTTCAGAAAATGGTAAAAGCTAGGATAGTATTTGTTAGCTGATGAATGAAAGTGTCAGATTATATAAAATTTAGAAATATTAACTATTTTTGGAGTCTTTTTATGGGAGAGATATAATATAATTATTGAAGGCTCATCACTTATTAATTTAAGTTTTTATATTGAAATGATTACTTTACATGTTATAAAAGCTGATGTCGTGGGTTATACTCTCCAACGTGACACTTTGCATAAGATAGATGTTGAGGGAATTGTTTGAGAGACCGACATCTTACCTTGACAAGACACATTGCGACGTCCAAGTTATATTGAACCATGGTGCTTGGATTGGTAAGGAAAAGACCCTCACCAATGGTGAAGCCAGGAATTTATACGAGGGGTGGCAAAATTAAAAGTGGTTACTCCTCCGTAGTCCCCCTATGCCTCTCCAGCACTCTCTGAGAGCCAATATTTTTCACATCAACAAGAGCTTCAAGCCTCTCCAAATCAATGCTATCTAATTTGGGTCCACATTTTTTAATTTGAGAATAAAAGTATGTTCTACAGTAGTGGTGAAAATTTTCTCAATTCCCATTTGGGAAAACACTTCCCTACAAGCAGATAGAACAAAAGATCACAAAACCATAAAAAAGAACCACTATCTCATTGAAACTCAAACTAGCAAAACTAAATGAAACATTTTTGGGTTTTTTTTTTATTTCAACACGTAAAAGTATATATAGTAGTGAGAATATAAACCGGAAGACTGAAGAGAAATTGTAACCAAGACAACCATGGCGGCAACAACATCAGTAGCAGTTTTACTACCACATGACAACATCCCCAAGTGAATCTAAATAACATTAACCATAGAAAACATCAAGAAAAAGGAACCCATGATAGATCTAATGGTGGATCCCAACATTCCACACCTAAGACTAAGAGCCTTGATATTGATGTGTGCCCTGAAAACCTCATCTACATACTTGCTATTGAGCAAGTTGAGCGCAAACTTCAACCTTTGCACCACCAACGAAGAGAAGAGGAAGAAGTTGGAGGAGACAATCTCAAATTTTTTCAAGTTTTAGGGGGCACCCTAGCCCCCCATAAATCCGCACATGTCCCTCGTGCAAGAGCTATTTAAATTTGAATATTGCACAAACTCATTTTTTATCCTACCTTGTGTTGAATGCTCATTTAAAAAAATGGAGATAGTGAGAATAAAATATTCATGATCCTGTGATCATCTTGGCTTTAATATCATAATAAACAATCATTTTATCCAAAAGTTCAAGCTGATAAATAATAATTTTCCTTTGTGAATCAAGAATTTGGCTTGGTTAGTTCTTTTGATCATACTCTAATGATCTAACAAAGATGACATCAGTATAAAAGTGCCTAAAGATCTAAAT